GTCACGGTGGCGCAGTGGGTAGCATGATCAGTTCACAGCAAGAAGGGTGCTGGTTTGAGCCTCGGCTGGGTCAGTTGGCAATTCTGTGTGGAGTTTGCATGTTCTCAAGGGTTTCCTTCGGGTGCTCCGGTGTCCTCCACAGTCCAAAGACATGCGGTATAGGTGAATTGGGTAGACTAAAATGGCCATAGTGTATATGTGTGAATGAGTCTGTATGGATGTTTCCCCGTGATGGGTTGTAGCTGGAAGGGCTTATGCTGCGTAAAACATGCTGGATAAGTTGGCAGTTCGAATCAAATATTTTTTATCTACTTGCAATAATGTCTTGTGAAATTTGGTGTCAGTATCATAAAGAATTTAAAGCAATAGTTCACCCATTCACCCAATAAGTTTGAAACCTGTAATCACCGACTTCCCCTGTAGGAACAACAGATACTATGGAATTGGTTACAGGTTTCCAGCATTTTTCAGAATAATAATAAAACATTTTATTTAAAGGTGTCTTTTTGGCAACTCAAGGACACCGTACAATGAAACACGAGCAATAAAACAACAAGAGAAATGATATAAAATTATACACAACAACAGTGCAGATACAATTGAAGTATTAAAAGCCATCTTAAATAATTGAGCTTTGAGTCTTGTTTTGAATAATGTGAGGGAGTCAATGTTTCTGATGGCAGGTGCTAGTGAGTTCCAAAGCCGGAGAGCAGAGCAGGTAAATGCTCTGTCCATGGAGGAAGATCTCGGGGTGGATGAGGCCAGACAAATATGGAGGGGCGAGATTGTGGATGGTTTTGAATGTTAACAGCGAAATTTCAAAATCAATTGGAAAACGAACAGGTAACTAATGAAGCTGCTGCAGGACAGGGGGAATGTGGTAAGAAGGGGTTCTGGTGATGATACGGGCAGCTGAGTTCTGGACCAACTGAAGCTTATGTAGGGATTTATGAGTGAGACCAAAGAGAAGGGAGTTGCAGTAATCTAAACGAGGTGTGCAAAGGCTATGGACGAGAACAGCAGTGGTAAGAGAAGGTCAGAGACGATTAATGTTGCGTAGATGGAAGTAAGCAGACCAGGGGATGTTATTGATGTGAGAATCAAAAGATAGGGCGTTATCAAGGATGACGCCCAGACTCTTAACCTGTTTAGAGGGATAAATGGAACAGTCGTCAATTGAGAGAGAAAAGCTGTCAGTTTTGGAGTGTTGATTTGGTATCAACAAGCAAAACCTCAGTTTTTTAACTATTAATTAAGAGAGAGACAAGATTTGATTTTTGCTAAGCAGACTGTGAGGGAAGATGGTGGAAAAAAGAGGTTTTGCCAGAGGGACAGAGCTGGGTGTCATCTGCATAGCAGTAAAACTGTATGTTATATTTACAGAGAATATTACCAAGGGTAAGGAGATAGATGATAAAAAGCAGGGGCCCCAGGACTGAGCCCTGGGGAACACCTGAAGAAACTGTAAAATGCTGAGAAGTGAATGATTTGAGTTGAATGAACTAAGTGTGGCCAGAGAGATAAGATTTGAACTAGTCAAGTGGGATATTGGTGATGTCAAGAGAAGATAGTCTATTGATGAGGGTGCTGTAACATAGTGTCAAAGGCTGCACTCAGGTCAAGGAGAATGAGAATAGATATTAGTCCAGAATCAGCTGCCATAAGAAGGTCGTTGATGATTTTAATAGGGGCAGTTTCTGTGCTGTAAAGTGGGCAGAAACCAGACTGAAACTGTTCATACAGGTTGTTCTGAGATAAGTGGAGTTTGGAGTTTTTTTCAAGGATTTTTTTTTATAAATAGGTCGTGAATTATTAAAATTAGATGGGTCGGAACCAGGTTTTTTGAGTATAGAAGTAATTGCTGCAGTTTTGAAGGAAGCAGGAATAGTTCCAGTGGAAAGAGAAAGCTCGGAAAGCATTGTGAACTAAGATGCTGGTGAATATTAAATATTTTTTTATTAAAAAAGGTCATGATAAAATTAAAGAAAGCTGTTGGGTGAAGATGAGATGGTAGTGAGTCAGGGGGTTAGTAATAGACTTGTACAGTGAAAACAGATGTGGTGTTACCTTTATTGAAACATAAAATTGGAGAAATAGTTGGATTTGGTTTGAGTAATGCAGGTCTTATATTGCAGGATGTGATTTTCATGCATTTTTTGTGAACAGCAAGGCCAGTTTTTCTAACTTATTATTTTTTGTTTTGTTTTGCACAGAAAAAAAAATCTCAAACGAAGTTTGTGACAAATGAAGGGTGAGTAAATGATGACAGAATTTAAAGTTTTAAATTAAATAATCTTTAAGCACCATTCACAGATTTTTTTGTGTATTTTTGCCTCTGTCAATGCAAAGAAAACATGCAAAATACACTTTTGTTTCTTTTGTCATCATTTTTGTTATAAATTTTTCTGCAGATTTCAGTAACGCTAATCTCAAAATTCTTTTTTTTCTCCAGCACTGAGCTATAAATCTTACATCAGCAGAATGTTCACCAATTTTTTACTCTAGCAGTTTGCAGTATGTTTGAAATGTGAAGTTACATTTAAAATCCCTTCAAACCCTAAAAAAGTTTGAACCCGACTACATGCATGCATTGTTCTGATTTTTGTGTTAAATGCATGCAAATTAGCACATAAAGAAACAAGACACTTATTTTTATTTAAATATAACATTTATTTGTAAATCCAATGCAATAACTTGCACGAAAACAATAAACAGAATCTCTGTTAAAACTTACAGCTGAAACAATAGAAAAACAATGCAGAAAAAGAATAGTTTTTTAAAACTGGTGTCACCTTTGCATCTCAGGCCCCATTTAAAACGCATTAGTTTTAAAACACATACCCTACGTTTTGCTACGGTTACGCCTTTCGTCTGCACTACCCCAGAGTTTTCGATCTCTGAAAACGGAGCGTTTTGAAAATACTGAAGAGACCATTTTCATTTTAAAACACTGCTGCTTCAGGTAAGTGTGGATGGGGTCAAACGGAGACATGTGAAAACGAAGGCGTGGCTGCAGACATTTGATTGGGGCTTCTTGTTCAATATTAAGTGCACAATGTTTGTTGTCTTGCATGCTTTCTTTGCAAGTTAAGACTTCACAAGTTTGACATATACAAACTCCCAAGGACACGACGGGTAAATCTTCAAAGGCAACAGTGTACTTTATAACATCATTCTCATCACCCTGGCTACATTGTTTCACCATCTAACAATAAAATGAAAACATAATACAAGGTACTGTATATTTTCATTTTAATATTATCAACTTAACAGACACCAAAAACGTTAAGGCATCGTGTAGCTACATATTAATATGACCGTCATTTTCACTGTATGCATACAGTATTTATAACCAAAATGGAGCCTATAACATGACTGCCTCCTTTCATTTTCATTGAAAAATATGAATGAATATCTTTTGCTGAATATCAGTTTTAATAATTAATAATGGCCATTATAAAAGTTAGGCATGTAATCTTATACTGGCTCATGCCTAATAAAAGGATAACATAAAATAAGTTTATACAATATAGGAAATAAAGGCAAGCAATCAGTCAAATGTGCACAATCAGTGTACGCGGTTACAAGAATTAATATATCAACTTATCTTTGCGCTCAGCCAAAACATGTTACCTAAGAACATGTAACAGATTCAAAAGACCAAAGAGTCGTTTGATAGAAACAAGATGAAATATCACGATTAACAACTATAGTGAGATGAAATCCAGCGGAAGATTCTTGATTAACTATCCGACCTGCGCTGCTTTCACCTGGGGAGGTGCCCACATAGCACCCGCTGGCTGCCTAGAGCTCAGACGCACATAAACTTTGCAGCCCATGGCAGAGTGTGTGTGTGGATGGTCACGTGATGTGCGTTTTTAGCAGTGTAGTGTGGACGGAGAATTGTTCAGAAATGCTAGGTGAAACGCCAGTGTGGATGCAGATCATTTTCATTCTAAAATACTCAGTTTGACATGTGAAATGAATCTGAAAATTAACAGTCTAATTAGCAGAGCCATCCAAATAATAACAAAAAAAAATCCAAAACAAGGAAATGTGATCCACATACATTGTATAAGACCATATGCTATTCCATGATAAAGATAATGGAGTAACACCCCTTTTTGGGGTTGAGGGGGATTCCTAATAACTCATACTTTTTTCAATACCACCTCGGTTGAGGTTCCAATTAAGCTGTACCAATACTAAAATGTCACTTGATTTGTTACACAAGACATCAAGCCCACCAGATTTAGCAAAATAGTTAGCATTGGCAATTTATTTATTTTAAATGACTGTTGCACACTTAACATGGCTGAATCGTGGTCGTGCAGAAGCTCCTATGTTAAGGCCAGGAAACACATAGCCGGCAGTCAGCCATTGGGCAGCGTCAGGTCATCAGTGAGTGACTGTCAAGCTAGTTTCTTTGGTGTTTCAAACATCAACTCTCATAGGGTTAACGGTGGAGCAAATTGGCCTGATTCAGCATGTAGAATCGGTGAAAGAAGACTTTGATCTGCTTTTAATTTGATTTGGTTATTCAGCAGTGAAAGACGCAAAGGGTGCAGAATGCAAGCTTTTGTTTTAGTCGTCTGTCGTCCCTTTGGGGTTCATGTGCAGCTTTTCGGTTGGTTGATTGGTTTTTGTCTGTACTAGTTTTTTAGCATAAACTTGGTGTGTCCCAGGCTTCATGTAATATCTGTCCAGGTTTGATGAAGTGCGAGAGGCAAGAAGGAAAGACTTTGTTTTTTCCAAAGAATTTTTTTTTTCCTAGCCACTGTCACCACTGGCTTTCTTGGATCGGGACTTGTGAAGCTGCGCTTCGGTGGGTTTGCTCTACAGTTTTTTAACTTTCAGCAGTGAAATTTTAACCATACTGAACTTCCACTCTATAATCTGGACTTTACAAGAACTATGTTAAGCTGCTTTGACACAAATACATTGTGAAAAGCACTATATAAATAAACATTAATTTAATTAAATTTAACTCAAGGCACATAAATAGTAGAGCATCTTTATTTAGATTGTCATACAACATGATCTATCGGTCATCTTCATATTGAATGTCATAAGCAAGTGGTCCATCCATGGCAAAGCCTATGTAGAAGGACACTTTCTCAGTGCTGTAGCCGCTTCTCATATCACCAAGAAATGCAGGACGCAATGAGATCTTTAGATTTCCATACTCTGTGAAGACCTCGCCTTGCTCAATAGTACCGGTCACTCTGAGAAGCCTGCTACATATTGTGGTTTCCTTAAAGATTTCTCCTGTTTGCCAGAGTATGTTTCGATTTTTCACATTACTGACAGTTTCGGATCTGTCAAGAGAAACTTTTGTCACCAACCTTTGTAATCCATCAGATTTTCCCAGGAAGAAGTGTGCAATGGTTGACCTTGTTCTGTACAAATAAGAGAGCTTCTTTCTGGCTGAGCTTCTGATTTTATCAACATATATTTTAATGCCAGAGCTGTTGACGTTTCTTCCTGGCCAGAGCAAGAGTATGGCAAGATAGAATGGCTCTGGGTTTTGGTGCTGTGTACCGACCTCTTGCAGAATATCTTGTAAAAGCTCCTCGAGGTATCCTGGGGATTTTGCTAACTTTGATTTTGGTAAGGTCAAATTCAGTATAATATGTGCAAGCAGATAATTCATTTTATCCTTTGTAGTTTTGATGGCAGAATTGTCATTTATAAATGAGTATTTTTCAACAATCTTTTCTACAGACACTTTTTTGGGCTCCAAAAACTGGAGAAGACCTGGAAACGTATCTGCTCTGCTTTCCTCCAGAAATATTCTGCAGTTTTCAATCTCCATATTCAAACTCAACATTGGTTTCTGCTTTTGCTCTTTTTGTTTGTCCTCTGCAGAGGCACAAAATAATGCGATGTACTGCTGATAGTGTTCTGAGATCCTCTGGCGAGTCTTTGCATCTTTCGTGTCATTAGTTCCTTTTTCTTTCATGTAAGTATAGTAAATTTCAAGAAAATCAAATGCCTCTTTTGTCTGTGATTTTAAAGATGTAAGGAAAGATTCGTATTCCTGAAGAACAACAATAAATGTATCATTGGCTTCGCTTTTAGAAATTGGGATTTTTGAACAGGCCAATATTCCTTTGAGGAAGCTCTGGATGTAATGGTCTTTCATTGGATCATTTTTCTCAAACAATGGGAGTTTTTTGATGATGTCAAAAACAATCATGGCTGTGTCAATCTCACCCATGTAGCCAGATATATTATATGGGCTCAACTTTCTGTGAAGTTTTTGTTCATTTTCAAGAACATCATCTGTCTTTGCCAAGCTCTGAGCTCTTCTGAAAGCTTTAGTAGCTGTGCTTGCTAACTCAAGATAATCCCTCAAGTCTTCAGCTGTGCATGGTTTCTTCTCCTGCTTTTTACATTCAAGTTTGTGCTTTAATTCATTTTTTGCAACTTGTCCAACTGTATCTAAAGTGTAGGAATTTTCTTTGATGGCTTTTGCACTATTTGCCCACTCTTTAGCTTTAGCAAAGTTCTTCTCTTTCAGGTAGAAGTGTCTTGCTAGAGCTTGGGGAATTGCGAAGTCTTTATCAAACCTTTTTGAAGCTGCAATAAAAATGTCTTGTATTTTATTCAGCCCATCTTCTCCTGAGTTTATGTCTTCTATCAGAGGTGAAAACAGAGAGTCTTTCTCATCACCTTCTGTCTTGCGTTGACGAGTGATCAACATGCTTTTCATTGACTGAACAAGAACATCCTTAATTGCAAATGTTTTAAAAAAGACATCGCAATGCAACATGTCAAGCACAGTGTCAGCCCTGGAGCAGTTATGGGTCTCCTCTAGTTGTTTCAGACATTCTGTTGCAAGATATTGATGAACAAAGCGAATTGCTTTGAATCCTCCATATTCCTCTGCCTCAAATTCAATCAGCAAACAGGAGTAGGGCTCCATTTTCTCCAGCACTGATTCTCTTCCCCAACGCGCAATTTTAATGCCCAAAAAATCTTCACATATAGATCTTGAGAAGGCTGGTTCATCCACATACGAATTTAGCAAAGCCAGCATGCAGAACAGGCGGCCTTGTTTGTTTTCAACTTTGAAATCTTTTAGTATGTTAGTTGCAACATTTTCAACATACATGCGGTCGAAATTTGTTTTCATGATCATGAAACTGTAGAAGTTCTCAGTTGTGAAAGACTTTATTTCTTGAAGTTCTTTAAGCTTCGTTTCGAAAGCACATTTTTCCTTGTCAGACAGTTCTGCAGTAATAAACTCGCTCTGAGCAACACTTTTCTTGTGTTTGTCTTTTGGCGTTTTTGTGCGTATGCAGTTTAAGATGATGACAAATGCTTCTGTTTCTCTTGTAAATTTTCTCAAAGAGTGCTGAAGTTCAACTGTGTTTTCTGTTTCTTCTGAATCTTCCACTAGTAGCAGGACTGGTGTTTTTAAGGATTGCTCACTTTTTCCACAATTCATCAGATGAGCAACATGTTTGGCCACTTCGTCCTTTGAAACGGTGTTGTCTTTTAACACTGCGCATCTGAATTTTTCTCTGAGATCCCACATCACATGCATGGCCATGGTGGTGCCGCCGCACCCAGGGTGATGAAACAGATTAATCATAGCACAAGTACTTTTGGTATATTTGGTCAAAGATTTAATATTGTTCTCTAGTTTTGAGTGTTTGTCTCTCTTTATGAACTTTTTTGCTGCAGGATGGTCTGAGAAGTAAAAGTTCCACCATTTGACTTTGCCTCCCCTGTAGAACTCAGACTCGGTTTTAATTTTGAACTCTTCAAATTCTGCAGAGCTCTCGTCATATTCATTTTCACATTCATTCTCACAGAGGACATCAAGGGATGTCATGAGGTCTTCATCTTTTATTAGCAGAGGCACTGAACTGCTCCCTGTAGATGGAAGAAGTCTCTGTGCGTTTTGCTTGTTCTGTCCCAGTTTCAGTATCGTCCCATTGATTTCACTGAGCTCCAGATCATATATACTCCGCTGACTGATGTCATGTTCACATCTGGACTGAATATAATCTCTCCATTTATTAAAGGAATCTACTGAAGTGCAAATGGTTGCTATGTTTTCAGTACCACCAAGGTTTTTATAAAATGACATAAAAGTGTCAAACATTGGGTCATTCATGGCCTCAACCGTGGAGAGGAGGAGAAATATGACAAAGAATTGTCCTCTTAGAAGATTGTTTGAGTTGCAGAAAAACGAAATCATGTTTTGTACTTCACCTGCTTTATGCAATAACCATTCACTTGGTTTGAGTGGTCGGTCAGATTCTGTATTGAGGTCTTTTCTGCCGTTACAGAATACCCAACTTGTTTGTTTGTACAAATTGTAATCATCGAAAATTGCTCCTGGGTCCCCATTAAACTGGCTTGGTGTGTGAAGGTTTGCAACTCGAACATCTCTGTAGTTGTGGCAGGATCCATTTACTACAGAATCTGGATCAAAGTCCAGCACACAGAACAATTTTAAGGTTGTCATGAACTGAAGATGCTGCAGCTGTTCAGGGTGACTTTTGTTTGTTACAATGATGAAATATTTATAATGATTCAGTCTGTTTCCTCCACATGTCAACAAATCTTTGAGAATTTCCCCTTGATTTGATTTTTCTTCGCTTTCGGGTCTCTTTTCAGCATCCTTTCTTTTTTTGTCCAGAACTTTCACTTTTGTATTTAGTCGAGCTAATTCAGTTTGCAGGTCTCTCGGATTACCAATTTTACAGATATCCCGAGTTGCAGCTCCATCTCTGATGAAAAGTGATTTTGCTTTGCTCTTTTTCCATTGATTTTCTTCATCCAGAGTCTGGATATAAAACAGCTTTCCATCAACTATGCTGTGGGATGGTACAACATCCACCTCTATGATATATTTGCCAGAAAGAGTACTGTCAGGACAGAGAACTTCTACAAAGCGTGGTTGTCTGATGCACGCCTTTGCTTCATCTGGATGTTCTTCAAAGTATTGTTTAATGCCCTGATGAAAGTGATCAATGATAGCATCTTTCTTGTCAACACTGACCCCGATAATCTCTCCATGAACATATTGTGAATCTTTAGAGTCAGCTACACCAAAGTGGATGGTTCCGTTAGTGCGGCTGTTCATGCAGCCAGCAGCAAAGCGAAAAACCTCCTTATTGAACTTCTTCTTCATCACGGTTATATCATCTGTTCTGCCCATAAACTTATACTCATGAACTGGATCAATCAGATTACCTGGTCCCGTCTCTGGTGGTAAAGTGTAGTTTTGAATGTATCGATGAGAAGCAGAGCTCTGATCAAATGGATAAAGACAACATGAGTGTTTTAAGGATCTATCCATCTTTATGTGACTTTCACTTTCAGAAGGAATTGCTGTTGTTTTAGGGACATTTGACTCTGTTGGTTCAATTCCTTTTCCAAAATTTGTTATATTTTCCATGGAATTGGATATACTATTTTTTTCAGTTTTACCCGATTTTCTCTTTTCAACATTTTTTGATAATAGTGTTTGGTTTGTTGAAGTGCTGTCTTTGTTCTCCTCTGTTGTGTCTAGCTTGTCCTCTGTGAGGAAATGGTCAGAAGAATATGATTTTGGTTTTTCCCTCTTTAGTGTATCCAACCGTGCGATAATCCTAACAGCTGGCCCATGCTTTATACCAAGTTCCTGTAAATGTTTAGGTTGGTAACAAACCAGTTCTTCTCCAGATACCTCTTCTTCATACAGCTTGTCTGCATATTTTTTATCCACTTTAATCACCTCAGTCAGCCAGTAACGAACTTGATCTCTCGTCCAGTCCTCTACTCGAAGAGGGAGTTCTGTCTGTTGATTCACTGTAGCCATACTATAAGAAATAAAAATAATTGTAAAAAAATTATGACTTTAGCACAATACACAGGAGTCAACAGCACAGACCAAATCATATTATTTGGGCAAGTCTTCTAGAAAGACAAGACATTACTTTATGTATTGAACATAAAGGGTGCTTTCACACCTAGACATTTGCTTTGGAACCTGGTGCATTTGCCCCCTTAGCTTGATTTGTTTGGCATATTTGAACACCCCAATCATGCTCCGATCTGTGGCAAAACAATCAGTGTGAGCCTGAATGAGGTAGTCTCGGCTCGGTTAAAACAAACTCTGGAGCGAATCGACTGTAGTGAGAAAGCAATGCGATCCAGCAAACTAACGAACTATGTGTATACAAATATATACAGCTGTATGTCAGGCCTATTGTTTTGTTCATTTCTGCACTAATACAAGATATTATAATATTAGACCTATTGTTCTGTTCTTTTCTGCACTGACATCTCGAAAGAAAGATCAAAATTCTTCTGCTTCATGATCTGACTGCAGTGTCGATTCATCTGTTAATTCTATCTATAAAGCATATAATGCATAATACTAGCCAACATTTTTAAGCTCATAATTAATAATGAAAACAACATTTTTAATGTCTTATTCTAATTTTTAAATAACTAATTTAAATGTTACAAAACTGATTAGCTATAGATTTTTACAACCCTTGACAACTGAAATGAGGCTATGTATAAGAGTCTTACCTCTGATTTATATTTAGTGACTGTTTTTGGTTGTCAATATTCAAAATTAAAGCGCACCTTTTCGCTTATAATGTCTTCTCATCATCATAAATTAAAATAATGAAGTATCAGGGCTGGTGGCTGGGCGCTTTGGCCTAAAATCGATTAATTGAATATTTTAACTTGATTATGATTATTGAATGATTATTTTATTTATTTATTTATTTAATTTTTTGTCCTCATAGTTCACTGAAAAGTTTTATATGTTGTCTAAAGTCATCTCTGGCACAGCTTCCAATCATCATCAATGTAGTGCAATGTAAGGCTCAAAAATGAGTCCATCGTCCTACTTGACCAGATCAGATGTGGCTGCAAAGTGGTCGCAGAAATAGAAATCAGCCAGAGCTTTTAACAGAGTGGGGTCAGTCCGTTTAGAAACTTTGCAGTGTCAAAACTAACTGCACCACAAAAAAAACATTGCAACAATTTTAATTCCTGTTTTAGAACAAAACAATCGATCTACCGGTGTGAAAGCAACCTAAAAATATGCTTTGAGGTTCAAATGATTACACATAGATGTTCCAAAGCATGACTGATTGTCAATATAATATGAATTAATCAATGTAAACATAACAATGCAATGCAGATGATTTGATCTAGATTTTTAAAATTCAGATTCAATATGTCTATTGCTGCAGCAAAATAATAAAAAAAATTCCTTTATTAATTGTAAAACAAATTATTTAAAATAAATCTCAAAATAAATCAAATATATAATATATACAAGTAATGGATATAAATAAAAATAAATCTAATACTTTTTTTGTTTAAACACGTCCAATTTCTTGTGTAATGCCAGACAAAATAATCAGGGCGTAACATTAACACCCACCAACCCGCCAAATGCAGGTAGATTTCAGCTGTGGCTAGACAGCGACTCCCACTAGCCACTTTGGCTGGTTAAAAATAATTTCTAAATTGCCAGCGCTCGCTCGTCACTAAAAAATTCTAAATTTTAGTTTGTGACTGTTTGTCAAAGATTATTAATGGGCATAACGTTAACTGTGTGCGCGTGGTCATCCTTTCATTATCGCACATGGAGTGTTTTTCACCTGCTTTCAGTTATTTTTATTAATATGGTTTAATTATCATCCTTTACAATAACATTGTTTTAATAGGAGATTAACTCTCCATTTATGTATAGTTAACTGGTGATCTGGGACCTTTAGCCAGGACAGACTACTGTGCATAATTTTAGATACATGATAATAATTTTTTTTTTTTAAATGTCAATGGTTTTTTTAAAGAACATTTTTGTAGAATATAAAAAGTGTATGTACAGTATATTGCTATATTTTGCTTGTTTTTACACAATATTTAAATTTTGTGGCAAGGAAATAATTAGTTTGGTGGGGCTGAGAGAAAATTGGTAAATCCTTAGTGTTGAGCCCTAAAAAGTAATGTGAAATAAGACTAATTGCAATGTGACACTATGAAATCCGAACACATTTGCTCATCCTTATTGAGCAAGGTCACAACACACAGAAAAGTGAAACAAATGAGGAGACATGTGGACACAACACATAATTTAAATCAAGTAATTTTAGGATGCCAAAGTCAAATTTATGCATATAAAACATATATAACAATAAATTTGTGGCTAGTGAAAGTGGCTAGTGATTTTGGATAACTACTAGCCACAGTGGCTGGTGATCAAAAAAAGTTCATGTCAAGCCCTAAAAAATAATGATTTGCTTATTATTATATTACATTTAGAATTTTGCTGCTAAATAAATCCTAAAAGTGTCCATTTAACTTTAAGGGCTCTATTTTAACAATCTAGGTGCAAAGTCTAAAGCATTAAAGTCATGTCAAAATCCACTTTTGTTATTTTAAGAATGGAAAAACAGGCCCTTCGCCAACGTGCATGGTCTAACAGGGTTGTGCTTATTCTCTTAATGAGTTTTGTTTTGATAATATAACAATCAGAGACTCATCTCCCATTCCCTTTAAGAGTCAGTTGCATCGCGCCATGACGCATTTGCTATTTACATGGCGGACTTTGTAAGTCGCAAAATTAAATGCGTCATTAGAGACAAAACAGACCATCTGCAGTGCGAGGATAAAGAATGAGCCTTCTCCATTTGGCCTTTACTTTCACTTTCTCTCTTTCGTGGATAAGAAAACGAGGTTATACGCACAGACATCCATTAGCCTACATTTTTAATTTTGTTTGTTAAGCGCAAAGATTTGTTTTTAAAACTATTTCTAAATTCAGTTCTAATTTCCAGCAAACGATTAAATGAATAATAATGAAGTGTGCTTAAACAACTGAGTTATTTCCAAATACTCATGCTATGCCCATATGTCCAAAACCTGACAGGTGGACAAATCTAAGCTTGTTTTTATTAAAACAAATATAAATTTGAATATAATAAATACTACTACTAATAATAATAACATTATACAAAACCAAATTGTCATGAATAAACTAAAAAAATCCCCCGAGATGAAAGCATGGAGGCAGTGGTTTAATACTTATGGTTTAAATATTTTTAATATTTATAGTTTTAAAATCAATGGATTTGCTCTTCAGTGTTTGGACTCTCAGTATCGATTATTAAACCACACAGAACTGAGCTAAACTTTACTGAACTTAAACTCTGAAGGAAAATGCCTGAATGTGCAAATGTAAAACCAAATTTACCTCAATCTCTTTTCTGGACCGAAATACCTATGGGTCCACAAAGTGGCACAAATGGATTTGCTATTGAAACAACGTGGTGGAAAACAGGAATATTAAGATTGTGTTGGTCTGAAAATAGCAACCCATCAGGGCAAAAACATCTTGTGCCTTATTGCGCCGGGTGTATGATAGGGCCCTAGGTGTTGAGGTGGAGTGTTCCTTAAAAGTTTGAACATTAATAAAGTTAATTGTGGTGTGCATCCTTTATAACTGCATAGTTATACAGCATAGATGTTAAGCAGAAACATTAAAAATAGCATATAAAAATATATATACATAAAAATATACATAATAGTGTTCTGTTTATCTTACCTTTTATGTTGTATGAAAACACACTAAGCTCTGTCCATCTCCGTTTTGTTTTTCGTTGTATGTTAATCCATCTGACAAGGAAAGTACAAAACAAAATAAATATATGAGTATTTGGACTTCAGTCTCTGTGTAAAAATAACAGGATGCCATAAACTCCTGTTTTGAACCAGAGACCTTGTTAAATTGACTAAATTACATTTTAGAGCTCTCAAAGCAAGCAAACCAAAAAGGTGATTGGGGGGGCTGAATTTCTTAATGCAATTCAATTTATAGTTCATGGCATATATTGCAAATTAAATCGGTATTTAAATTAAAGCTCAAAATCTCAAAATTGATAGATGCAAGGGAAAAAAACGGCTTTTGCCTGCAATAACAAGGTTACTAATTGCAATACATGGATATGTAACCGTACTCTCTTTTGCTCTGCGTTGTGTAGTGAATGACGAGAGGACAACATTTTGAGTCTGCACAGAGAATGTTATTATGAGATCGGCAGCTTCAGCTCATTACATTAAATGTACAGTCAACAAAAATAACATTCTACAATATAACAAACTGTTTTTACATCAGTAAATATAACAAATGATTAAATTCAAACTTAAATATGCATATGTGTGTGTGTGTTAATTATGGCCAGAGCCAAATTCAATTTGGAACAGGTAACGTTAGATACCTTCTTAGTTCAAGGTAACGTAGACTAACCATATTCCGTACACAACGATGTTCCGTACAGATGACCTTTTAACGTTAATCTCTGAATAAATACTTATGGGTCGTAGGCAAGCTATATATCTGTGTAATCTTTAATTCTCACTCTTTCAGCCCCAACCACAACAGAGACATTCCTACTATATGTTTCCGAGTAAAATCAGTAAGTTTGCTACGTCCACCTAATGCGCTTGAAAACAGAAAGTGGGCAAGCTTAAAGTGCGAGTGTCGCCTGGGAGGGGAGACATTTAAAGCCCGACAATATGCTTTTGCATTTAATTTATGCATCACACGGTATTACAGTCTTTATGAAGTGAATATTATGTTATCACAAATTGTTAAATAAATTATCTTTTGTTGGATAAATGCTTTGAAATGGGGATGTTTAAACATCAATTGTGGGTAAATAACGCATGTCGCAATTCTCCGCCTGAGAGACAGGCTGCAAACGCTGTTTGGATCCTCCTTTTGCAGTAATGATGTTTATATTCATAAAAGGTCAGTCAAGTTAGCTTCAATGTGCATGAATTTAATGTGTTAATATTTTAAATTGTCATGCTGTAATAAAATAAACATGATATAAAAAGTAAATGATTTTGAAGCTATTTCATTTAAAACTTTCATAAAAGAGTTATTTAATATATCATTAACTTCAAGTTAAACACAATAATAGTATATTCTGACATAAGATTTTAATAAGACTTCAAACAATGCCCATTTTTGCCAGTAAATTAAAGTTATGCGCCCTGTACGGAACACTATTTTAGTCGTGTACGGAACACCGTTAATACCTATCATCTTCCGTACACATGCGAAGGCGGTACTTATCCCATCTTTTCTCAAAAAATACTGGTCCAAAAGACATCAATCAAGATTTGGATTGTGCAATAGGTATTCCCCCAGAGAATGAACACACAAGCATGCTTATCTGGCTTTCAATGACGGAGGAGTGGTCGTTTGAGTGCGCTGAATAGCGAAAAGTGTACGGAACATGGTTAGTCTACGTTAAAGGTGGAAAAGACCGCTCAAGCAATAGTGCAACAGGTAGGGCTGCTTGGACTATACCACCTCGTTAAGCCAGGGGGGGGCTCTTTTTGTACATTTATATTGTGAACACAAAACAATTTTATATGAACAGTAAGTAAACAGGAGGAAAATATAGTGAAATCAATATACCCGAAATAATCCTGTTACAGATATACTTGGCGTTTGAATTTCCTCAAAAGCAATAATGCCTTAAAATGTAATTTAAAGCATGTACATAATGAACTTTGCCCTTACTAATTATACTGTTTCAATCTAATGTATCCGACGAGTTTCAAAAGTCTGGACAGAGAACGACGTATTGCGTTGAAGCTTCACTGGGCCCGTTGTCTTCTTTGGTGCACTTACATTAACCTAAGCGTTCACCAGAACATAAATAGACTTAGAATGAAAACTTGAACGACTCTTACAACCTCATCCAGCCGAGCCAAAACGACAGAAAACTCCTGTTGTTCCGGGTTCAAAAAAGTAGTGATATAACGCCTGAAGTCTTCTTCTCGATTGACGTCCCTTCACTGATGGGAGCATCACTGCCACCTACTGTACATAATAGCCTGATTTCTCGATTACTTTGAAGTAATGTTCTCAAACTCAATTCTGAAGGGCTGCATCTCTGTACATTTAAGCTCCAATCACCTCAAACTGATTCCTTCATTCATTCATTTTCTTTTCGGCTTAGTCCCTTTATTAACCTGGGGTCGCTACAGCGGAATGAACCGTAACTTATCCAGCATTTATGTTTTACGCAGCAGTTGCCCTTCCAGCGGCAACCCATCATACACTATGGACAATTTAGCTTACCCAATTCACCTATTGCACATGTCTGGACTTGTGGGGGAAACCGGAGCACCTGGAGGACACACATGCAAACACAGGGAGAACATGCAAACTCCACAAAGAAATGCCAACTGACCCAGCCGGGGCTGGAACCAGCGACCTTCTTGCAGTTACCCAACAAACACACAACGTTGCCTCAACGTAGCGACCTTCCTACAACGTTGTACCAACATTGTAAAAAGGTTGAGGATTCTACGTTGTTGCTAAACGTTGTCACAACGATGTCATAAGGTTGCCATTTAAACATCATGAGGGTCGCATGCTTTAGGTTGTGCTTAGGTGGCGTGGACGACCACTGTACAACATTTACTGGTCACAGCTGAATCAGTTTAAATTTCAACAAGCCGTCGTCTCATTCATCAAAGACCGAGGAGACGTGAGTATTGCTTTATTTCTTCTTGCTAAATAAGATACGTAAATCGTGAATATTCAAACAAACCTACGATTTCGACAACAATCTGTTCCAACATTACACACACACAAAAGCCGTAATTATTACGAGCGAGTAACATTTCGGCAATCTGTTCACGGACGGCAACAACATTAAAATCATTATGTTAAATCTGTCGATAAAACATTTCCTGATTATTTACCTACGCCTTGTCTTTAGTCAAATGGACAATAATGTTTTTGAAGTTCAGTTTTCTCCATATCCATCGTGATCAGTCAGTATGATACTTTATCACACGAGCCGACCCACTTTTTACAAAACACACAAAATAACTTTTAAAAACAAAACACCTCTGTGCAGATTGCGTCCCGTTAAAGGAACAGTTCACTCAAAAATGATATGTACTCACGAATTATTTGCCCTGTAAATAGTAAGTGATTCCAAACCTTTAAGTTTCTTTATTCTGTTGAACACTTAAAGACTGTAAGCATTTGCTTTCATAGTAGGAAAACACTATGGAATTAAATAGTTACAGTTTCCAGCTTTATTTAATATATCTTCTTTATTGTTTAGCAGAAAAAAGCTATATAAGTTTGCAACAAATAAAGGATGAGGCTAAAATGGCAGAATTGTCAGTTTTGGGTGAGCTATCCCTATAAGTTAAAGTATATAAATTAATGTTCATATGCCTAATTAATATAGATAGTAATTAAAAGGTCTGCTATAGTCTAAATTTCTATTTTGATTGGTCTTTTGATGTTTTATTTAAAACCCACTCTTTTCTTTGCTCAACAGGCTATTTTTACATGGAGGTAATCTTCTATTGATAATTTCTGGATTTTAATTATGCGTAAGTTGCATAAAACTCTATTGTTTAATCACTCACTGTTGTTTTCAAATTACTCATGTAACTTGTCTTTCAAAATGTTTTCAGCTGTTGAATTCAGCTCAGATCAGTGTTGCTGTAATTCCTGATCTATGGAAAGAAGAATTGGATGAGGTAAGAAGTATACTATTTTATTTACTATTAAATGTAGTTATGTTACCTAAAACAGCATGTCCATAATGTGGAAAATAGATCATGCTTATGAAAAATTACTTTATTATTTTGTACAGCTGTTATTGAAATGACACTAAGTTTAACATTCCATTTACAGCGAGCAACGCCACAACTACAGGGCCTGTTCTTTCTCTTCTCATAATTTAAGTAAGTATTGGGAGACTAACTCTGACTTCTGTTAACTCAAACCTGTTTTCCCTGTATCTCTAAATTTATTTAATCGTATGTAATTTTACATGTAACATTAATTTAATGTAACATTAAAATAAAGTAGGCTTCATAATTACTCTGGATATTTTATATGTAATGAAATTACAATAAATGTCTTAAACTTCAATAACTTGCTAGTTATAGTCATTTCCTGTGTAGTGCTGTTGTGTCAAGCTCTGATCTGTCCTCTCTTGTTCACTGCCTATTTTGACTTGTGTCTGCTGTGGATCTCTGAAGCTGGATTATCAGTTGAATTTGTTTCTTCCTCTGACTGCTTTCTCCATACCAACAACTACGACTGGTCTTCAGCTGCGCTCCCCGGTCTGCTGTATTCTCCAGTCCAGAGCTTCACTGCCCAGTGTTTGAATTTTAATTTATATATTTATTTACATTTTAATGATTTCTTGTTTACTTTTCTTGTTTGTTTACCATTTAGTTTAATTTATATATATATATATATATATATATATATATATATATATATATATATATATAAAATCTAAACTTTATTTTATACTGTTTGCTTATAATTAGATACTGTATGTGTACTGTATGTATTAAATGTTGTGAAATATATAATAAAAAGTTTGATTATTAATTTTTGTGGCATTTTTACACTTTAAAGTTTACACATGCAGTTATTAAATTAAATGCGAAAAATAAATGAATAATATTTTATATTAAGCAATACTGGAAAAGAATTGCTGCTTATCCTGTATTCTAGGCAGTATTGATAAACTGCCACAAAAAATATTAATACAAGTAGTAAGAACGCCGCCTCGCGGTTGCTGAATGTCGCACGACAACGTTGCTACAGCCTTCTCACGTCTTACATTTCTACGTTGTGACAATGTAGCGAGCACGTAAGCGGCAACGTTGCCTTTAAAAAAATACAACGTTGTGCGGACATCGCTACAACGTAAATGTGTTTGTTGGGTAGAATGCTTACAGTAAAATGTTTTCCTCACAATAACATGTACACCATGTGGTTACCAACATCAGGGGCGGATTTAGTTTTTTGGGTGCCCTATTAAGAAATTCCAATCATGGTGCTCAAAAGTTTGTACTTTAATATATTATTAATTAATTTATTCATATCACTCATTCTCCTTTTCTATATTTCATCTTAATGCAAAATAGTAACAAGATGTAAAGCATCTTGTAAAACCTTTTATATTATTTGTTTCATCATTTCACAACTAAAATAATATATAAACAATTTTTTAATAGTTTCAATTACAATTTAATTAAATATTTGTAATTTTTTATTGCGTTTTTAAAACTAAATCTTTACCTAGTTTGACTGCTGGACTGCTCCATGATTGAGGGTGGGGGACACATTTGCGCAGAAGTAATAAAAATTAAACTTTTTTTTTACCCTAGTAATACAAAATATGATAGAAAATTGTGTTATATGTAATTTATACGTATAATTTATACTTCTAGGAATTAATTTGGGGGCGCTCAGATTTCCTGGGGCCCTAAGCAGCCACTTACCTTTGTTGGTTAAATCCGCCCCTGACCAACAATACAAGTTCAGCATATTGCACCTCCATTCATTGTTTTTAAAGACAGGAGAGATTGTAATAAAGAGACTGTTCAGACATTAATTTAACTTCATACATAATTTACTCAGGGCGTCATGGTGGTGCAGTGGATAGCACGATCGCCGTACAGCAAGAAGGTTGCTGGTTTGAGCCTTGGCTGGGTAAATTGGCATTTCTGTGTGGAGTTTGCATGTTCTTCCTATTAAGGCATGAGTTTCCTCCTGTGCTCCGTTTCCCCCACAAGCCCAAAGACATGCGCAAATTGGGTAAGCTAAAATTTTCCGTAGTGTATGAGAATGAATGAGTGTGTATGGATGTTTCCCAGTGATGGGTTGCAACTGGAAGGGCATCCGCTGCGTTAAATATATGCTGGATAAGTTGCCGGTTCATTCTGCTGTGGCAACCCCTGATGAATAAAGGGACTAAGCCAAAAAGAACATGAATGAATGAATGAATGAATTATTTACTTACCCTAGTCTATTGAAGATGTAGGTGACTTTGATTCTTCAGTTAGACACTAAAGAAGATTTGTAGCTGAGTCTATGGACTCCATGGTCCTTGGTTATTTGTATAATGCAAGTCAATGGTTACCCTTTTGAGATCAATCCCGAGGCTCTTGATCATGATGAGGTGTCTCAAATATTATTATTAGCTTTAATGCATGATCCTGATATCAAATTCACATTAAGCCTCATACGTAAGTGGTAGTGTGGGCCGGGCGGGTTTTGCGGGGTTCGTGTGCGTGCATGCGGATTGGTGGAGCGCGCAGAGGAAGCTTGTGTGCTTGACAACCAGCAAGCGGCAGAGACAACAAGAGCCTCTCGCCCCGAAACACGGAGGAATAAACCCCGCAGACAGCGCGTGTCGACACACCCTCGGCGGACACACAGAGGATTCCTGCACTTCGCGTTTATGTAGTGATTATCAGGTGAGATTTAAATCGCTGTCCGCCGCGGTTATCGCTGTTGTTTTGAGGTTAGGCGAGGCCGGGGAGGCTGCTGCTACTCCGCCTGGATGACACACTCTCTCCCCCCGCTGCCTCTGAATATGTCTGCGCTGGATGTAATATGGGTGGATGTCCGCTTTCGTTGGAGTCCTGAAAGGATGTGTTGTGGCGTATTTACGACATAATCAGTGTTGGCTGCCTGATAAACGCGTCGTAAGAAGCTCATGATGCGAGACCAGCGGTGGAAAAGCATGAGAAAGCAAATCTGCGTTTCCCCATAGCAGTGCATGTTGTTTGGGGGTGGTGTCGCGTAGTGGTTCAGTAAATTAGCTTTTAATACTTTAAAAGGAGGTTTTAAACCCAAAGCGTGCGATTATTGACATGTCATCTTTGTAATGTAGATTTCAAACAGGTCTGTAGCCGGCCTGGTGAAGGGGTGTTTTTTATCCCAAAACTGGACCTTTTTGCAGTAATTTGCCTCATTTTCTATTTTACTATGGGTTTTTAATACTACATTCTAGTGAGAGCTATTTTTTTCTGGATTAGCTTGTCGGGTGGTCATCATAATCACACTTTTTAATAATTATTTTAGGGATTTTTCACCTTTATTGTGATAAAACACAGTGGAGATTTACAGCCAGGAGAGTATGGGGGGCAGAGATAGGAAGAGGGTCGGCAAAGGTACTTGAGCCGGGATTTGAACTCTGCTTGCCGTAAGCATCTTGGTCCATTGTTGACACACTAACCACTAGGCTAATTAGCACAGACTATTTTTGATGTACCCAAAACATTTCCTAAAGATTTAGAATAAAGAAATTGAAAAAAGATATTTTTAAAAAGTATTTATACATATTATTTTTAAAATACAAATTTAATGAACAAATCTAATCAATCTAGACATGGGACGATAACCGTTTTCAAGGTATATCGCGGTTTAGAAAAGTCAAGGTTTTAAAACCGCCAAAATTTTCTGTAATACCGTTCCAAAGGTATGTGTAAGATATTTTATTTACATTTGTTTTTAGGACAACAGTATCTCCAGCAGAAAAATATCCAAAGATGCTGTTTTAAATTGTAAAGAAATCAGTGTTTTTAAAACCAATGAAGACAGCAGAAGTCAATGATTGATTTGAATTATTTAGTCTGATATGTTTACTGCTTCAAAACATTATAAATCTTAAAAAAAAAAATAGAATATATTGTTTTTAAAGGTGGAAAAAGATTTTGTTTTTTACCCAGACTTTTAAATAATATATATTTTAGAGCAGTGATCGATTGCAATACCGTGAAACCGTGATATTTTTATCTAAGGTTATCATACCGTCAGAATCTTATACTGACCCATGCCTAATCACATCTTTTATCATCAGGAAAAAAGGAATCTGTTCAAATTTTAAATGAAAAACTGCCTATTAAAGTCAAGTAGTCTATTGTCATTTATTAGGCAAATAACAAACTAGCCAGCACATTCAACTTTACTCAGAAAACAATTTGGCCACTTGAATAATAAAAAAAAAGTAAACGTAATAATTATAATTATAATACCAAAATTCATGTTTTATAATATGATGTCTTAAAGATATAACTGCGACAACTGAGCATCTTATTGAGTTATAGTTATTTAATTTATCTTTTACAGTCAGATTTTGGCTACTTGAATAATAAAAAAATGTAAATATAATAAATAGTAATAATAATAAAAATAATAATTACATTTTGTTTTATAATGTGTTTTATAATATTTAGATTAAGAATCATTTGATGACTTGTTAAAAGACTCTATTTGACGATCAGAGTGCATCCACTTAATACCAATTGTCAATACAAAGCTCTATATTTTGCCTATATTCTAAGTTTTTATTATTTTGAATTTAATAACAGTTAGTATGATTATTTGTATTATAAGGAGTCTACAGGCCAGAAAAGGTATGTTGCTTAATCTGTGCATAAATGATCAATTGTGCTAAATAGCAAGGAACTTTATTTCACTCCTATATTGACACTTTTTAAACACTTTTTTCCACAAATATTGAAGAAAACGCTCAACTTGCACTTAATTTGCTTTCTATATCAAATTATATTTGTATATTTGAAGCTGATATGGAAATTTTTTTTTTGTATTTCTGCAAGCTTATTTCGCTCTTTATTGCCCATCTCATATTAGATTATAATTGGATAAATGTTATTGTTGTAAAACCTAATATTAAAGGTGCAATAGGTAATCTGCCAATATGCCATCCGTTAGCAGATTATCTTTGAAACAGTCCCTCACCTACAGTTCAAAGCCTAACCCCTAAAATCTTAAACGCGCACATTAAAGATGACAGTACACAACCCATCACTAGATCATATCATTAGTCAGTTAAAAAAACTTTAGAGTACTTTATAATACTACAATTCTGACCAAAAAAACTGCATTATATCTAGCACAATTTAAGTTGTGTAGCAAGCAAAACTTTTCATAATGTGCAAAATTTCATGCATGCAAGGATCGCTGGTCTCGCTTTCTCACGTGCTTTGTGCTTGGTCGGCTGGCTGCTGGAAGTAAACTTATTACTAAGCTATACTTGCGTGTTATTTCAGACCAAATATTGAGAGTATTATGGTAAACATTATAGTGAGCACGTCATCGGTTGTCATTGTTCAAAAATGAACCAATGTGATGTGAATATCAAACTAACTTCAGCTCAGTAAAGCAGGCTAGGCGGAATAGCGCTATTTACTTATGATTTGTTGATAAACTAAATAAAAATCTACATTATCGATGCTGTAAAAGGTCCCTTACAAAACTGAAAATAGTGGCTGAACAACACTCTTGTTCATATAACTCATTCGAAACAACAAAATCTACATAAGCTTTGCGTGACTAAAATAGCTTTAAAACAGAAAATTACCTGTCTAAAAGAAATACTTTAGCCACTCCTTCCGCCAGCGTGCAAAAATTGGCAATATTGATTTAGGATTTTTAAAAGTTTTTATTCAGCATTTGGTTTTACTGCTCTTTCTCTCGTGTGCACGTGAACGAAGCACGCATGCACTAGTTAACAGTGGATCTGCGTGAACGGGTGCGCAGATGTGCAAGTCTACATTTGCTGACAGACAGTTTGTGCTACTTATCAGAATTATGGGAATTGTCAACTCGACACATGGCTGAACAATTTTTAGTTTTATGCCTTACCCAGAATATAAAAACACATATAAAAACACATATAAATACACTTAGATCATTTACTTTAATCATTACTATTAGACTGTGGAGAGACTCACCCGGACAAAAAAATAAATAAATAAATGTTTCTGAAGACAATCACCTACTGCACCTTTAATGAATAATTTTCACATTTATAGGATTGCAGTCCCTATGGATTTCAACAGTAATGTGAATATTGAAAGCAATGTTTTCTTTATAATTATTTGAAAGGATTGTAAATAGGTATGAAAGTATTTGCTCAATGATGAAGTATATATTCCTGAATGCAGAGGAACAGGCTGTTTTGTTTTGCTAGAGTGTCCCGTCACCTCCCATGTGTGTGTGTTTACATTTGCATTTTTCTGGTGTGTCAACTCTGTCTCATAACATTGGTTTGGTATTTTAATTAGAAGGGTTTTGCCACTTGCAGTCTGCAGGCGAAACGGTGAATGTTTTACTGTGGCATCAGAGTTTATACTGAAATAATGAATGGCAACACCATATAATTGTTCTTTAAAATGTTATAAGAGACTTCTCTTTTGAAATATATCCAGGACTTTCTCCAATTTTTATATTTAATATACTTTAATAATCCCTCTCCTTTTTTTCAAGAATCATTTGTATGTGCACGTTTAGATCTGCCTCTAAATTGACAAGCATGATCATGTAAACCCCATTTTTTTTTAGCAATTATTTTGCATTTATTTGTCATTGCTCAGAAGTAATTTGCTAAAAAAAAATGTCAAAAAGTTGTATGGAAACCCAGTAACTTTTGAATAATGATTGTTTTAGGGATTTGTTTCATTTATGCAAATGTATTTTTCATATTTATTTATTTTTTTAACTAGCATTTACTAAAAAATCTTTTTATTTGGTGCAGTGGTATAGTTTATTTCACCATGTATCACCATTTGATACAAACAGTTGTTAATATTTATAAATAATGGTTTACTTTTAATATTTACTTTTAATATTAAGACTTAATATTAATCTTTAATATTAAGACTTTAATACAATTTTTTTTTTTACCTTTCTCAGTGGTTGATATGAAATAAAATTTAGTTTTTGCTTCTCACCTTCTTTACGTTTAAAGTAAAGTGGCACATTGTTTAAATATAAGTTGGTAAGATCTATTAATTGATTTTAACCAGGACCACAATCAGGGGTGGTTAGTTGGAAAGTTTAAAGAAGGACCCTAAAATCCTTTAATTTATAGCCTAGTGTTGTTTTTAGGTTTAGGGAGTAGACATTTACTAGACTTATTAATTTACTAGATGATATATTTTATTTATTAACATTTGTGTGTGTGTGAAAGCTTGCCACCATGACGGCTGAGGAGATCATAAACGTGAAGGAGGTGGAGATCATCAAGGTGATGTTGGACTTTCTAAACTCGCGCAAGCTGCACATTAGCATGCTAGCATTGGAGAAGGAGAGCGGTGTCATCAACGGCCTCTACTCAGACGACATGCTCTTCCTCAGGTTTGTCCAAATACTTTTCAAGTGAAATCATGAATAGTTTGAATTAAGACTGCACAATACATCGTTTCAGCATCAATATCACAATGTGTGTGTGTACAATAGTCACATTGCAAAGATATGCAATGTTGAGTTGACTTTGCAGTGTAATTTTTACATTTACATGGACAAAACCTTAATGCATGTACTGTTAATTTCATTTTTCATTTTTGTTTTGTTGCATTTATCTATGCTTGTAGTTTGTTTATTGATTCACTTCCCTACAGAGTCATCCCAATCAATCGGTCAAATAATTCCGTAACACTTTAGGGACCAATTCTCACTATTAACTAGTTGCTTATTAGCATGCATGTTATTGAGAGATTGTCTGCTCATTAATACTTGTAAAGCACATGATGTTATTCTACATCTCTATTCCCAATACCTAAACTACCTTAATAACTATTAATAAGGAGCAAACTAGGAGTTTATTGGAGCAAAAGTCAAAATGGTTTGCTAAGAGAGAGAACTGAACCTTACATTATAAAATATAAAGTATAAAAAAGTAAATTGCAATATATATCGCAGAAAAACAAAACATCACAATGTCCGATTTTTCCAATATTGTGCAGCCCTAGTTTGAATTCAGTTTTAAACTGACGAATACCACCCTGCTCAGATCTCACTTGTGTTTTTTCTGAACATTCCTTCATTACTCACTGAATCTGTGCATGCATGAGAGTTTGGGTTTCATTTTTGAAACTGGGCATTTAGAAACACAGGTTTCCCATGGCTCGTGGAATTTCTGAAAGGTCATGGAATTTTAAAGGATCATTCCAGACATTTAAAGACAGTGACAATTTTTTTTGTCACTTTTTTTGACTTCAGCCCTGGTGCTTCACACTTATTGTTATGGTTAGGTTATTTTCAGCTCCATTAAATTCCTTTCACACTCATCAATTTGCAGCATCTAGAGTCAAATGGCATCACCAGACTGTACCAAATTAAGCCAAACATGTCAGAATAATATTAATTTTAAGAGCTTTGGCTTCAAAATGACCACTTGGATGTATAAAAAATAGATGACTGAAAAGCAAAATATAAAGTTTGTAAAACTACTATCGGTCTATCAAACATGGGAAGCACTTCACAGCCGCACAATGAGTACTTCTGATTTTTAATTATTATTAAAAATTATTATTTTTCTCATAGTTACACAGCAAATTTTCCCAGAGATGGGTTGTGGCTGGAAGGGCATCCGCTGCGTAAAAACTTGCTGGATAAGTTGGCGGTTCATTCTGCTGTGGCGACCCCGGATTAATAAAGTGACTAAGCCGACAAGAAAATGAATGAATGAATGAATGACACAGCAATTTAAAAAAAAAAAATTGAGTTTGTTGTCTTGTATTTTGTCAAAATATCTAAAAAAATGAAATCAAGAAACATTTTCTAGATGCATTTTCTTTTGTTCTTTATTTTGACATAAGATTATTTTGCTTACCCCACTGGCTGACTATTATTTTGCTTACCCCACTGGCAGACTATTATAAACAAGACAAAAAATGTAAGTAAGAAAAACATTTTGCAGTGTACCTATTAAAGTCATGCAAAAAATCTTTTATGTATTTTAATATTATGTTTTATTAATATTTTTAAATATTTTAATATGTTATTAATATATAAGTACTGTACACCAGCGGCATGTTTTTACATCCATTAGATGTTATGAAAATTCATCTTTTTAATCAGTGAAAGTCAGGGATGTTGATATTTGGCTCAAAGTGGGAATCCTATAAACAGAAGTGGGTTTACATCAAAGCGCAAAAAAGTTTCGAATAAACTGATAAATCCAATTCAGAAAGTGGAATCATATTTACATGTAGGTCATTGCAGATTTGACTCTCTCAGATGTAATATTTGAGTCTATTTATTGAAGCAGACACTATTAGAGTCTATTTTTCTGTTCGTGTAATTCAGACCATGAAATGTTGTTTTCATGGAAAATGTTTCTTTAAATGAATCTAAATCATAATCTGTGGAAGGTGGTATTCTCTTAGCACTGGTATATAATATATTATATATAGTCCTATTATCTAGCTGCACCCGTTTCAGGTTTAAACACTAAAGATCTCTTTTTCCTACTTTTCAATCATTCATCCCCTCTGCAGGCAGCTCATTCTGGATGGACAGTGGGATGAAGTGTTGCAGTTTATTCAGCCTCTCGAGTGTCTGGATAAATTTGATAGGAAGAGGTGAGAGATCAGCTCAAAATCTTTTAATCGAATGCAACTCGTATATAAAAGTTTACTAAGTTTACTTGGATTTGCTTGTGAAAAAAAGAAACCCCAATATCTGCACTTTAGAGTTTTTATTCAGTGTTCAGTTAATTTATAAAATCTAAAAGGAATGCCAACCAAAAATATATGTTTTTTCCAATAACATCGGACACTCTTGGTTTAACTTCACATATATGTATGCATTTTCCAGGTTCCGTTACATTGTTTTAAAGCAGAAGTTTCTGGAAGCTTTGTGTGTGAACAATGCCATGTCTGCTGAAGATGAGCCACAACATGTGAGTAACATCAGAGTCACCGTGACATGTCAGATTATATTTGATTCACTTTTTTCATTAGATAAACTACTTTTTATTAGGTTTGGAGTCCGTAAGACTTATTTTTAAACTTATTTGTTCAAATGGGAGGCAATAAAGTGAAAAAAAAAAAGTTTAGCAAGGTAATGTTTGTGTGTTTAGTGTTTCAGTGCAACCCCATGAGACACTGAATATTTAGTTACAGGAATGCATAGGGGTTAGAAAATATTTTTAAAATTATAAAAAAAAAGAGATTATGGCTGATTTCTCGAAGGATGTTTTGAAGATTGCTTTATAATAAGTCTTGTGTCATCAAGAATTATAAAAAAATGTAATAACTTATTCAGGGCCACACGGTGGCTCAGTGGTTAGCACTGTTGCCTCGAGCAAGAAGGTGAGTTGGGTGAGTTGGTATTTCTGTGTGGAGTTTGCAAGTTCCCCCCTTGTTGGCATGGGTTTCCTTCGGGTGTTCCGGTTTCCCCCATAGTCCAAAGACACACGATATAGGTTAATTGGATAAACTTATTTGTCCGTAGTGTATGAGTGCGTTTGTGTGTATGAGAATGTGAGTGTACGGGTGTTTCCCAGAACTGGGTTGCAGGTGAAAGAGCATCCACTTTGTAAAAATATGGGACAATAGTTGGCAGGTTATTCTGCTTTGGCGACCTCTGATTATTAAGGGACCAAGTTACAGAAAAATGTATGATTGAATGTCTTATTCAGCAAGGATGCAATAGCTGATAAAATTGACAGAAAAAAGTTTGTTTTTGTCTTGTTTAAAAAAAAAAATTCCTTCAAAAGAAACTTTTCCATAAAAGAAATCTAAAACAATTGCAATGGTTTCCATAAACAGTTTTAGCATATCTGTTTTTACCTTGATAATAATAAAATGTCTTTAACCAGTCTTATGTTTCACAAATCCCCGGCATATTTTTGTCAATGGCCAACAATACATAGTTTGGGTCAAAAGGGTGATTTTTCTTTTATGCCAAAAATCATTATAATATTAGGTAAAGATCATGTTTCAAAAAGACATTTATTAAATTTCCTTATGCAAATTTATCAAAGCTAAATTTTTTATTAGAATTGTTAGTATTGCTACAGTGCTCAGCATATATAAGTACACCCCTCACAAATCTATCTTTTAAATTTATATTTTTATAGGAAGCTATACAATATTATATTTGTGCATATGCAGTACATTAGATTAGTTGGTAAAAAAGCCAAATCTGGAACTTATCTAACAAAATACTAACAATAACGGTTTAAAAACTTGTACAGCCAAATTGATACGTTATAGAAAAATATTAAATACAAATTTAAAAAGAGGAAAAATCAAGAGAAGCAAAAAAATATTTTTCAATATTTAGAATTTAATTGTATTATCTTTCCATTTCTAAATACTTTTGGTGAACAAAATATTATTTTAATAAATGTATCTGTTTAATAAATCTGTTTTGTTAGCAAAATACATAGCCTATATTCAATGAGAACTGGATCAAAATATATTTATTTTTCAAAGTGGAGTGTACTTATATATGCTGAGCACTGCAAGTAGTAGACCACTTTAAATCCATTTTTTTCAATATTTGCTTCTATACCAAATCTTATAATTTCCTTACAAACAATGGAAGGGTTATTCATTCAACGTTCTGGTGAAATAAAAATCTTATTTAAAAAAATGAACACTTTAAGGTTTTGGAAATAGACAAAAAACCCAACCACTAACTTTGATTGGAAGAAATTATAAAAGTAATCCATCTGAAAAAAATAGCTTCTTGCTAGTAAATACATTGAATAACTTTGATAAGATTTGGTCTCCTCTTCTCTTATATCTTGATTCTGTAACCTAACCTGATTAATCATGCAGTGTTGACCTTACTTTCATGGTGTAATTTTTTAGTTTAATGGCTGGGGTGGGAGACCAGGGGTTGTTCGGTTTGTTTGTTGCCATCTGCGCTGACTTATTATCTTTATCTTTATCGTTTATCTTATCTTATCTTTTAAAATTGTTATGTTTTTGTTACAGTAACTATTGGATTGCTTTATAATACCATAATAAAAAGATTTAAACAAAACAATTAACACTTATGACTGGTTTTGTGATCCAGTGCCACAAATATGTTTTTGAGCAGCAAATCAGCATATTAAAATGATTTTTAAGAATCATGCAAGACTAAATTATGGAGTAATGGCTGCTAAAAATTCTGCTTTATTTCAGTACATTTTAAAATGTATTTCTCTGACATACAGGCAACTGGGTGGTTCAGTGGTTAGCACTGTCGCCTCACAGCAAGAAGGTCAATGGTTTAAGTCCTGGCTGGGCCAGTTGGCATTTCTGTGTGGAGTTAGCATGTTCTCCCCTTGTTGGCGTGGGTTTTCTCCGGGTGCTCTGGTTTCCCCCACAGTCCTAAGACATGCACTATAGGTGAATTGGGTAAACAAAATTGGCTGAAGTGTATGAGTATGTGTGTGAATGAAAGGGTGTTTCCTAGTACAGGGTTGCGGCTGAAAGGGCATGCACTGTGTAAAACATATGCTGCAATAGTTGGCCGTTCATTCCACTGTGGCGACCCCTTATAACTAAGGGACTAAGTCAAAGAAAAAAGTAAAAGAATGAATGAATGTGCTGAAATACAAGACTGTTAGTTTCAACTGTAATAATATTTCATAATAAAACTCCTTTTTTTAAATACTAGACTAAATTTGATTTTACGCAAATTTCTTTGACAATCTTGAGTTTTGACAAATTAACTTGTCGGAAAACTCATGGTAAAAGCATGTGTGAAGCGGACTTGAGCCATTTTGCACAAGACTCTTCTTTGCAGCTTTCTCACGCCTCTTTTCTCATCTGTTTGTGTTCAGCTGGAGCTGACCATGCAGGAGGCGGTCAAGTGTCTCCACGCTCTGGAAGAGTTCTGTCCATCTAAAGATGACTACAGCAAGCTCTGCCTTCTCCTGACTCTTCCCCGTCTCACCAACCATGCCGAGTTCAAGGACTGGAACCCAAGTACAGCTCGTGTTCAGTGTTTCGAGGAGTCCTGCGGTATGGTGGCAGAGTTTATCCCCGCCGACCGAAAGCTGAGTGAAGCCGGGTTCCGCGCCAGCTCCAACCGCCTCTTCCAGCTCCTGATTAAAGGTGTATTATATGAATGCTGCGTGGAGTTCTGCCAGAGCAAGGCTACTGGAGAGGAGATCACAGAGAGTGAGGTTCTCCTGGGTATCGACATGCTTTGTGGAAACGGCTGCGATGATCTCGACCTGAGTTTGCTTTCTTGGCTCCAGAACCTGTCGCCAAGTGTCTTCTCATGCGCTTTCGAGCAGAAGATGCTCAATATCCATGTGGATCGGCTTGTCAAACCAGCCAAGGCTGCCTACGCTGACCTGCTTACTCCGCTCATCAGCAAGCTCTCCCCGTACCCCGCTTCTCCTCTCCGCCGGCCACAGTCTGCAGATACATACATGTCTCGCTCTCTGAACCCAGCGCTGGATGGCTTGTCCTACGGCTTGTCGCAGGAGAAGAGAGGAGTGACGACTGATGGAGGGAAAACGTCACCCATGTCGCACTCCTTCGCTAATTTTCAACACATGAACCGCAGTGTGATGATGGAGAATTCAGGGTGTCACAGCATCTTCGAGGAGTCACCAGAAAGGTAAACGTCAACCTCTCGTATACCTGAATGAAAAATATAAACACAGTGGTCCCTCGCTATAATGCAGTTCACCTTTCGCGGTCTCACAAATTTCTTTAGTGCAATTTGACTTGTTTTTTTTACAGCACATCGTGTTCTGCGTCCAGATTAGCACATTTTGTTCTGCATCCTAATTGGCTAAAGACCACTGTCGATCAATCTCCTCCATGCCATGTCTCCTGTACAATACAGAATGGGTTCAGCTTGCCAAATTTACATACATTTTTGATCACTAGTAGTGTGACCATGTAGTACTGGACTGTATGTTTGGAAGTTTTCTCCCCAACAAACCCCATAATATCGAAACGTTCTGCATTATTAAAGGCACCCATGGTAGCACCCAAAAGGCAGAGGAAGATGATAACCATTGCTCAAAAAGTTGGACTTCTGGATATGCTTAAGGATGGTAGAAGTTACGAGGGTGTTTAAGCAAGAGAGAAAAGTGTGAAAATGTTCATGGCTGTCCGAGAAAAGTGTATAAAGTGTGTAGTGAGGGGTTTTACAGTCTTAAAACATCCATAATAATTGTAAAAAATAAAGCGGACTACTTCGCCTATTGCAGGCTATTTTTAGAACTCCCGCGATTAACGAGGGACCACTGTGTGTATGTATGTGTATATGTATATGTATATGTATATATATATATATATATATATATATATATATATATATATATATATATATATATATATATATTATTATTTTTATTATTATTATTATTATTATTATTATTTTTTTTTTGAAGGTCAATATTGATGCTCCCTTAAGATGAATTTGGATACAGTGACTTGCATTTTAGATAAATTCTACAGTGAAAAACCCAAAAAGTTAAGGTAACTCAAAACGTTTGAGGGAACCGATTACAACAAACCATTTAAGTTCAAAAACTAATCCTAATGAGTACTGTGAACTTAATCCAATTGAGTAAATGAAGCAATTTGAGCACAGTAAAATACAATAAATGAAGAGAACTCGAACCAATTGAGTACTGTAAAACCAAAAAAGTTAAGGCAACTCAATCCGTTTGAGGAAACCGATTGCTACAAACCATTTGAGTTAAAAAAAAAGCTAATCTATATGAGTACTGTGAAATAACTGTATTTAAGCTGAATTAATGAGGTATTTAATTAACTCATTACCTTCAACACTGAGTTCAAAACTCTTTTCAAATGAGTAGGATTTACTTTCAGTCAATTTTGAGTTAACTACACTCATTTCCATTGATAAAGTTTACTGTTGGGTTTTACAGTGCAGTATCTTGCAAAATAACTAGTACTGTCACAAGTGCTGTCAATATCTACTGACTTCAAGGACAACACATATGCTTAATACAAAAATACACTTCATTGAACATGTACACATACGGTAGACAATTTATATACTATATAACTGCAGGTTAACTATGTTTATATATAATATCTTTAACTGTTACGGTTATTAGTAAATTAGTTAAAGTTATTGGTAAGTAATAAAGTTACAATAGCTAATATACTTAATTGAAATATATATATAATATAATTCTGAATTTGATTGTAATGCAGTAGTGTTGCTTTTTTTTGTAAAGCTGCGTTGAAATGATCATTATTGTGCAAAGCGCTATAGAAATAAACTTGAATGGAATTTAATTGATTTGAATATGGAAAGGACAAAATCAGCTTAGTTCTATAGATTCATTACACGCACATATTTGATTTGTATTGATTTTTTTTATTCATATAGATAAACCCCTTGAGATGTACCACCTCATTTTAAGGGGGTCCCACAATTAATCACATAATAATAAACCAAAAGGAAAAAAAACAAAATTACACCACATCCAAAAAAAGAAACCTTAACAAAAGGGAAAGTAGTATACACATATACATATAAATAGTACAAAAAAGATGTACAGGTCAGTGAACAAAATGACCACATAAACAACAACAGCATCCTCAGGAAAAACAAGTACAGTCAAAAGTAAAATATGACAGCAACGTTTGCTTAAACATATTCGATGCAATGGATCTAATATTTGCAGGTAAATTATTCCAATATATTAGACCTTTAAACATAAAAGCTCTTTTAGCAATAGGTTTTTTAAAGCAAGGAACAGAAAAATAAGTCTGAACAGAATGTCTTGATAATTTAAGGAAAAAAAATATTGTTGTAAATAATAAGGATTCTTAAAATGAAAACATTTAAATTAAAGCCAGTGAATATGTCGTCTTGTATGCAAAGATGGCCACCGCAGTAGATCATACATTATACAATGGTGTGTAATAAAAGAACAACCCAGAACAAATCTGCAAAGTCTATTATGTGCCATATTAAGAGGAGCAAGTTCTAATTTTGTTGCAGTCTGATAAACAATAACACAAAAATAAAAAATTGGAAATATAAGTTGAAGAGCAAATATTTGTAATGGCTTTGGAAATATTTTAAGCTGTTAATTAGTGGGTATGAGTAAGTAGTTTTAATGTTTGGTTTATACTTTAAAGGTCTGAAAACATTTCAAAGTTAAAAAAGATCGTCATTTAGAGCTGCTTTTTTCTTTTTCTTTCTTTGCAGAAACATACACTCGGTTTATATTAACAAATGTTTTAATTTGTTGTGATTTAAAAAACGAGATTGAAATCGAATTTTCAAAATTGCTAACTTTAAGAACAATGTTACATATTCATTGATATAAGTATTATTAACATTGATAATAATAAAAAATATCATTATAATGTTACAATTATTTCTGAGGTCTCACATGACACTAAGGACTGCAGTTATGGCGACTAAATTCACGTTTTAGAAATAAATGGATTTGAAGATATATTAAAATACAATTTTTTTTTCCAAATTGTTATACCATTGCAACTATAAAATAAAATGATAAGTAATAAAACAATATTGCACGATATTTTTTGTTATATTTTTGATCAATTAATGTGTGAGCATAAGGGACTTCTTTCAAAAACCTTTTTCATAATTATTGTTTATATATTATTTCTTAGTTATTGCATGGTACAGTTGTACAGTTTTAAGACTGTGTATACAAATATGACATGTGCATAGTGCATATTCAAGGTGGAATTAATTCTATGAAATTTTCAAGGGTGTGTTATAGAGCAGAATGACTTGAGAGCAAAATCTTTTGATGAGCAAAGTCATTACCGAGGTGTGTGTGTGTGTGTGTGTTTTAATCGGAAATGTTGATTATCTGGTCTTGCAGCTCCAGAACTGAAACTCCATCTGATAAAATGATGAGTTCACCCGGTCCTCAAAACTCTCGCCCGGCCTCTGCCCCAGGTCAAGATGCCCCAACACCTGGTTCTGAAGAAAAGAATGAGGTAATTTGTCAGTTGATATCTGTGGAACATTAGGTAATGCACTCAATGAATGCATGTTGTTAACAAAACACTGCACTTTTTTTTTCCTTTTGGAAATGATTTTGCAAGTCCCCTAGAGTTAAACAGTTGAGTTTGACAATTTATAAATTCATTAATTTGATTTTATAGGTCTGGCAGGAGCACTTTTAGCTCATCGTAGCTTAGCATAAATCATTGAAACAGATTAGACCAGTGGTTCTCAAACTGTGGTACGTGTACCACTAGTGGTACGCAGGCTTCCTTCTGGTGGTATGCGGAGGAATTGCTAAATAATTTGAGTAAAAAAATTAACACACTTTTAACCCTTTGACATGTACGATAACAACAGTGTGATCAGGAAATTGATTTTAATAGGCTAAAACTTTTATTTTATTTTCAATTTTCTAATGTTTGTTATGTATTCTATCATTTGAAGCTAATCCCCTCCCTATATTTGTAATAGTTGTTGGGCGCATATCCTGTATTTTTATATGTCTAAATTGACACGTATGGTTTATTGACTTGCTTTTGTAACACACAAAGCCTATAACACGCAGTAAGCAGATCTAATTTATAAATTAAATATGTAAATCCAAATCATACATTGTAAAGTTAATGTTTAGATTTCAAAGATATACAAATAAATCACATGCAATATCTATTTCGATTTTTTTTTCAAAAACATTTCATCTATGAATAGGATCACAAACAGCTCATATTAATATATGATGTCCATATTAATATATGATGTCCATATTAATATATGAGGTCCAAGGAACATTTCCAAGTTTTTTATGACTAGGCTACTATATGTTAATACTTTACATTTAAATACAGCAGTTTTCTTTTTACTTTTTAAGAACAGTGCCATTTTGATGAACTTTTAGAAGCACATTTTAGTTTAAACATTTTTTTTTTACCTGTAAGCATAGTGCAGTGTTAAAGTTCAAGCTATTTATTGTTTAAAATGACTGACAATAATAAATATTCATGATAATAGAAATTAATCTGCCTTATTTTTGAATTGTGCTGAGCTTTGGCTGCTTAATTAGGCCTACTACGCTACTGCATTTCAAAATATTATGGTGGTACTTGGAGAGACATTTTTTTGAGGTGGTACTGAGTGAAAAAAGTTTGAGAATCACTGGATTAGACCATTAGCATCTCACTCAAAAAAAATCCCATGCTCTAACACAGCGCTGTTACCTAGCTATCTAGCTGGGAACTATTTACAGGGACTGCGTAATGTCATTGCACCCGGTGTAGCCATGGTACGACAGAAAATTTCCTCGAGTATTTAGCCAGAACTTTCGATTTTCTGTCAGTCTTAGTACATAATGTAACTACAGAAGAGTCAAACGTTAAATAGGAAGTATAATGCTAATGGTCTAATCTAATTCAATGAATTATGCTAAGCTAAAAGGGCTCCCACCAGACCCAGAGATTGGCTAATTGATTAAAAAATGGTACTTAATGTGAAAAGTGGTGCTCAATGTGAAAAATGGTACTCAATGGAACTGATTCAAAAGCTGTTTAACTCTAGGGGGGTTGTAAAATGAGCTCTTTTCTTTATACCATAATTAACAATATAGAAAAACACCACTAAATGCCAAAACTGTGTATTTCACTCTGGCTTTGACTAAAAAAACAAACCTCTTAAAATTTGTAAAAGCAACATGTCAAACTCTGAAGTTCTGCTATCGGTTACTATCATCATGCTTTCTACTTGCCTGTCTGAGCATCAGAAGTTTGCATGTGTCCTCATGAACAGCCTGTAGTGGGTCATAAATAAATGGCAAGCTCAGCTACTGCTTTAGATTTATCACTTCATAGATGCAGAGGGCTTGGATTTGCTGTTGCCAAGCTGCAGTTGCTAAGCATGTGGTTGTGGGTGGATCGTCACTACAAAGATAGAATGGGGATTAATAAAGTGTGTTTTTATCTTTATAGATTGTTTAGATTTGTAGAGTTCTAGAATGTTGAACTTTATGAATTGTTCCTGTGTAGAGTTCTAGAATGTTCATGACTGTCAGAGGTTATGGTGAAAGAATTCTAGATAGTTCATCAGAAGTGCCCATTGTGTTTTCTGGAATTCTGATATTTAGTTTGCTGTAAGAGGAATATCAAAGTACAGTGGAATACTGATTTTAATTTAGTGTCGAGATACATTTGTAGGTTTAGTTAATATTAATTAGAACATTTTTACTTAGTATGTTTTATAAATGGTATGTTTAATTTTTTTTCATTTATGTATAGTTTTACATTTTTATTCTTAAATTCAAATGTATTCAGATCTTGTTTACATTTTTCAAGAGTTTTGGACAGTTTAACTGTAGTCTTCATTAATTAGTGTATTCGGAATCGGTACCATTCATTCATTCATTCATTTATTCATTCATTCATTCATTCATTCATTTTCCTTCTTGCTGTGAAGGTCGCTGAGGTGACAGTGGTAACCACTGAGCTGTCATGCCGCCGCATACAGGACCATTAAAAGTGCAAATAGCCGCACAGCTCCACACTTTCCTTCTGCTCTGTTTGACCTGTTACACACATGCACTTTAGCCAAAACAGCCCTTTTCTCTTCACACCTCTTGCCATCAAGAAACACACCCATCTTCCTTTTCTCAGTGAGCACACACACACAGCACACACAAGACGAGTTATTAGTTATGACAAGCACTTGAGTCAGTAAGTCCACATCCTGTGGTTTACAGTAAAGCCATGTGGTCTTACCAACTTTTATTCTTTTCTTTTTTGACATGACATAAAATTTAATTTAATTAAGGCTTCAGTAAATTTAGCACCTGAATCCACTCACTGGCCACTTTATTAGGTACACCTGTCCAACTGCTCGTTAACCCAAGTTTCTAATCAGCCAATCACATGGCAGCAACTCCATGCATTTAGGCATGTAGACATAGTCAAGACGATCTGCTGCAGTTCAAACCGAGCATCAGAATGGGGAAAAAAGGTGATTTAAGTGACTTTGAGCATGGCATGGTTGTTGGTGCCAGACGGAGTATTTCAGAAACTGCTTATCTACTGGGATTTTCATGCACGACCATCACTAGGGTTTACAGGGAATGGTCTGAAAAAGACTAAATATCCAGTGAGCGGCAGTTCTGTGGGCGCAAATGCCTTGCTGATGCCAGAGGTCAGAGGAAAATGGCCAGACTGATTCAAGCTGATAGAATGGCAACAGTAACTCAAATAACCACTCGTTACAACCGAGGTATGCAGAAGAGAGTCTCTGAACACACAACACGTTGCTCCTTGGGGTGGATTGGCTACAGCAGCAGAAGACCACTCTGGGTGCCACTCTTCTCAGCTAAGAACAGGAAACTGAGGCTACAATTCGCACAGGCTCACCAAAATTGGACAGTAGAAAATTGGAAAAACGTTGCTTGGTCTGAAGAGTCTCGATTTCTGCTGCGACATTTGGACAGCAGGGTCAGAATTTGGCGTCAACACAATGAAAGCATAGATGCATCCTGTCTTGTATCAATGGTTTAGGCTGGTGGCAGGGGTGTAATGGTGTGGGGGAAATTTTCTTGGCACACTTTGGGCCAATTAGTACCAATTGAGCTTTGTGTCAATGCCACAACCAACCTGAGTATTGTTGCTGAACTCAGTCCAATAAAGCACCTTTATGATGTAGTGACGAATCTGCCGCAACTGTGTGATGCTATCATGTCAATATGGAGCAAAATCTCTGAGGAATATTTCCAGTAAGTTGTTAAATCTATGCAACGAAGGATTAAGGCAGTTCTGAAGGCAAAAGGGGGTCCAACCTGTTACTACTAAGGTGTACCTAATAAAGTGGCTGGTGAGTGTAGTTCTCCCAAATTAAGCCTCAACTACTTCATCTTTGTATATCTAGAAATAGAAAATAATTGAATGTTAAGTTGGAGTATGAAAATTAACATCATTTTTTTTAAAGCTTTACTCATACTGGTACATTTAATAATTTTGTAATTTTATTTCACCTTCCTGTTTTATTGCATTCAAATGGTTTGGATGTTTTCAAAAAAATGTGGTTTGTTGCCAGTGGCCATCAGCCTTGATGTGTTGATGTGTTTGATTACAAAGACTCTGAGCTCTGAAAACAAACCAGTTTATTTCCTGTCTGGCTTTTTAATCTGGTTGTAATCGCTGTAGAGCTGTTATGTATTAAATCCTTTCAGCCGGCCAGAAAGTAACAATTCCTCAGTGTCTGTCTTCTCATAAGCTTTTAGGGTGAATTGGGAGCAACACAGTGTCCTAACTAGCGGTTTGACTGTCTGCAAACATTTAAATACCAGCCATTCATTTAAATATCAGCCACTGCACTCGAGGAAATAGTAAGGTTTACAATCTAATTAATGCATATTAAAACCTTTTATCATTATTAAAAATACATAGGCTGAGTGATTGATATTGTTGGTTTGCATTGAGTCACTGACTTTCATATTCAAACTGTTTGCTAGTTATTTTGTTTTCTAGGTCTTAGGTGAACTATCTGCTGAACCTAAGTAGGATGACAATAAATGTCGCATAAAATTGTGTTCAAACTAGAGGTCTGCATTCCCGTGGCTCTACCGCGGGACCCGACCAGATTTTTTGCGGCACGGGAATAAATTTTCGAATAAAGCGCAGGAGCGGTCAGTAACTGGTGTAGTAATTTTGGATGGGAGCGGGCGGTCTAACAATATCGCTCCCGAGTCCCGAGCGAGCGAGCACGCGTATGCGTGTTAATGAGAGAGCTTGATGCTGTGTTTAGCTTGTTTGTTGCTGTCTATACGTGTGTGTTTGTGTGCGAATGAGAGAGAGAACTTTGTGCTGTTTATGTGTGTGAATGAGAGAGAGCGTGATGCTGTGTGTGTGTGTGTGTGTGTGTGTGTGTGTGTGTGTGTGTGTGTGTGTGTGTGTGTGTGTGTGTGTGTGTGTGTGTGTGTGTGTGTCTGTGTCTGTGTCTGTGTCTGTGTCTGTGTCTGTGTGTGTGTCTGTGTGTGTGTCTGTGTCTGTGCGTCTGTGTCTGTGCGTGTACAGACAGCTTATTATAGGCTGTCTGGACTCTGTATGGCTGGGTGGTTTTTGTTCTGCCCCCTGCCCATTAGCGTAACGGGCGCAGCGGGTAAAAAACAGGGACAAAAAACAGTTGTCCCACTGCAGGTCAGGCAGAGGGACAACAAATGCTGAATATAAGCGGGAGAGGTGGGGTTCAGACTAAAACTTTGCAGGAGTGGGCGGGAGCGGGATTCAAAATTTAGTCCCATGCAGATCTCTAGTTCAAACTCACATTGGTAGCATGTAACACTGAATAAAGCACATAATCGGTACCTGAGGAGATGAATATTATAGCAGTTTATGGTGTTGTTTTGTTGCAACGTCACAGAAATAGAAACTGTTTCTAAAATAGAAACTTGACAGTTTTTTTAATTGTCTGATTTGCTGATATTTTGCGTGGTAGAATTGTTTGATTTTAGTCTCAGTTTATATCCGTCTTCTCTTTGTAGTTGCGGGACTCCACCGACCAGTTTCAGGAATATTACCGCCAGCGGTTACGTGTACAGCAGCATCTGGAACAGAAGCAACAGCAGAGGGAGCTCTATCAGCAGATGCTGAGAGAAGGCGGAGTCCAGCAGCATGAGGCCCCGCCCACTGCCAAGCACAATCTTACAGAAGCCTTCCTTACCAGGTGAGCCAAGCTCCACCACTAACATTACATTAGATATGGGTGATTGGGACTTATAACTATAATAATGATATTTTCTTGCATTTATTGTGATAACAATACTGTATAAAAATGATAGTTCATATGTATCTCCACAGACCATTTGTAGGTTTTAGTGTTATTATCACAAGAATGTATATTCTTATTGTGGGGAGCTTTTTTTACTGGTCTATTGTAAACAGTATCTCATTACATCATATCCAAAGTTTAGTGCTTATTCTAGAGCTATGCTTATGTACAACAAACCAGCTAAAGTTTACAAACACAGAGGAGCCAGGTGAAATCTGATGCTGTGAATAGTTAGAGAGAGGAAAAGGATGACAGGTTGAATTTCAAATGAAAGGCTAATGAGATGTAGATGAGACTGGCCTCAGGGTTTTACAGCTGGTGCATCGAGGGAACCTGAAGTGGGTGGAGTATTCCCAGAGGAAAACAAACACATACACACAGATGCTCGAAGACTGGTTTAACATTTACATGCATTTGAAACACATTAAAATAGTTTTTTATTTAGTACTAGAAGGGCAGTAATCTTATAAGTAGGTTTTACCATATCTCAACATTTTTAAAATTAATGTCATATGTACAGCTCTGAAAAAAAATTCGGAGACTAAGATTAAAATATTTGGGCGACTAAAGACAAAAATATTGAAGAAATTTTATATTATATTATATTATATTATATTATATTATATTATATTATATTATATTATATTATATTATATTATATTATATTATATTTTCTTTTTAGCTTTGTCCCTTTATTAATCAGGGATCGCCAAAGCTGAATAAACCGCCAACCTATTCAGCATATGTTTTACTACAGCGTATGCCCTTCCAGCTGCAACCCAACACTGGGGAACACCCATAAACTCTCATTCACACACATACACTACGGTCAATTTAGCTTATTCAATTCACATATACCGCATGTCCTTGGACTGTGGGGGAAACCCACACCTATTGTATTGTATTGTATTGTATTGTATTGTATTGTATTATATTATATTATGTTATATTATATTATATTATATTATAATATATTATATTGTATTGTATTATATTATTTTATATTATATTATATTATATTATATTATATTATATTATATTATATTATATTATATTATATTATATTATATTATATTATGTTCTATTATATTTATATTTTACATGTCTACATATTTATTTTAATTTCTTTTCTCCAATATTTCTGTCTTTGAAGTAATATATTTATTTTATTCTAATATTTAAGGTCTGAGAATGTGGACATTCATGTTATCATTTTCTGCAAATAAATGTTTTGAATGATAATATTCATATTTACATTTTGAAGACAATAGCTCAAAATTAGTGAATAGTTTCAAAAATACCACACAAATAAACATTTTATTTAATTATTTTTCCTTGAGCTGAATAAACATTAATTTCTGTGTTGTAGTTTATTGAAAATGCTTAATTGTATGATAATTAGTTCTTAATTTAATCACTTTTTAAATAAATGTTAACATCAAAACAGTAAAAAAAAAATAATAATAAATATATATATATATATATATATATATATATATATATATATATATATATATATATATATATATATATATATATATATATATATATATATTTAAAAAAAAAAAAAAAATATATATATATATATATATATATTTATAATAGTTTGTCCAAACCTTACAGGAAACATATTCAAATATATTCAACCGTTCAACTGTCCCTTTAGTCATTTTTGATCACTCTTCTCTTGTTTGGCTTTGATAGTTTTCTAGTTCTGTTGCTGTAGTTACGGCACAGTTGTAATACAGAGCCATAACAAAGGGAGGTTCTGGAACCATGCCGTGCCGTTCCACTGATGATGTCATCATTAAAGTCCTCAGCCATAAATAATGCAGCGGGACAGAGGGAAGGGGAGGGCAGATAAACATTCATTGTTCTGTCGACAGAAGCCGTACTGAGTTTTGACTGAACCCTAGTGCATTCATTTGATTATACTTGTATATTATGACAAAGTTATAAGTTTTGATGCCACATAAATAAAATGTGATCTAAAAAACACATTGGCTTTCTGCCACCTGCTTAAGGGGATTTTAAGGGGAATGCCCCCCCTTGACCACTGGGAAATGACTAGTTGTAAATGTGGGTGGTGTTTGGCAGAGATTAAGATGAATATCAAATAAAAGGCTAATGAGATGAACCTCAGGCTTCTGCAGATGGTGCCTTTAGCAGATTCACAACTTGAAGTGGGTGAAGAAATCCCCAGGGAAAAAAGGCTGAAAATAAGCTGTTTTGCACTTTGATGTTTATGTGATTAAAAAAAAAAAAAAAAACTCTGTGATCATCGGTGATGTCAGCTTAAAATTATAATCTTTTGAGCTAGTTTAAAGTTATTCCAAAGTAGCCAGACATTTAGCTTGAAATGCAAGATGTAAATCCTGTACATTAACAGTACTGTAGGATATGACCTAACAATTCAGGGAGGGAGGAGGTCAGATATACACTCATAAATCTGACATTTTTTGCATGTTTTTTTTCTTCCAGTTGTATTACAATTCACAGATAAGCATAAATGTGAGAAACTTGTATTTTTTTTTAAAAACTTGCAATTGCAAGAAATAAAATAAATATTATGTAAACACTAAATTGCCAACAATGTTTATATAAAATATATGATAGACAGGGGGTAGCGGGTAGATTTTAGCTCGGCCTCTTTGGCTGGTTGAAAATAATTTTCAAATTGCCAGCGCATTCGTCACTAATGATTAGAATTTTAGTTTATGACCATTTGTCAATATGCATACAAATGTTCTCCTAGAATCAAGAAGCAGCATGACTGACAAAAACAACAAAAGAAAGCATGTGAATACCGAATGAGAGGATGTTCATGTGCACGGTAATTATTATTATTATTATTATTATTATTATTATCGGTTCTCTTTGGTGTAGACTGAAAATAAAGCGATGCTCATTTATGAACAGTCCTGCTGTTTTAAAGCCAGGGCTTGAGATTTTTTGTAAGCAGCAGCGGTTGCTGCTTTCACTTTAACCATCATTTGAACAGATTATTAATACACCTAATTTAAACTGTGTGCACACGATAATCCTTTCATTTTCACACATAAAATGTTTTTCACCTGTTTTCTTTTGCTTAAATTAATGTTTGTTAATATGGTTTACAATGCTTTAATATGTTTTTTTGCATAGTTACTGGTGATCTGGGACCTTTTAGCCTGAACAGATCATTGTGCATAGTTTTAAAAACATGGGATTTTTTTTTAAATGTCAAATGTTCTTCAAAAGAAATTTTTTGTTAAATAAAATGTATGTATGCAGCTATATTTTGACACATTGTGGCTAGGAAATAATTAGTTGGTGGTGGTCGGAGATGAATTTGGTAAATAATTATAGTGTTGAGACCTGAAAAGTTATGTGAACTAAAACTGATTGCAATAAAAGTCATAGTGTCTATGAAGCCACAACCCACAAAAAAAGTTAAATAAACGAGGAGGCATGTGGAGAAAACTCAAAAATCAAATCAAGTAATTTAAGCATGCCAAGTCAAATTAATGCAATATATATTCCTAACAACAAAATGGTGAGTGGCTAGTAACAATGGAAAACCTAGCCACAGTGGCTGGTGATCAAAAAAGTGTCTATTACATATTACATAGTACATATCTTAAATTTGTGAGTTGATATGTTTTAATTCTGAGGAAAAATTTCAGAATTGTAAAATGAAAAAGCACTAGTTTAAACAGCCTTATTAAGTTATTGTAAGTTATTATTACCATTAAGTTGTAGATATTTCGTTTTGAATGTACACCCTCTAGTGGCGGCGATCTACACACAGTGGTTTTGAATACAAATTTTAGAATGCTTGTCTTTTTTGTCTACTACATGTATTTTATGGTCAGTAAAGTTGACTGTAAAATGTCATCTTTTTATGTGTGTGCAGGTCTATTCAGCGTCTGGAGGAGCTGAATGTGGGAATGGATGATTTAGGAGAAGAGGTGCAGGCTCTCTCTCAGCAGTGCAAAGAAGGAACTAACAGCAACGGTGAAGTTGGAGACGCTTCAGCTACACCACAGACACAGGATGGAGGTGGAGGAGCCAGCAGTGTGATGACCAGCACTCCTCAGAGGTCAGCGAGTCAATCCGGCTTTCCTCCGTCCAGCCAGTCTCCTGTACTGACCAAGAGGTGAGAGTAGGCCAGCTCTTTAAATCTTTCATCAGCTGTATCACTACGTCCTTAATTTAAGATTTAATTTGTGACACATTTTAAGCTGTAATATTAGCTTTTTTTAAAATGCAAATTAACTTAACGTTTTTCATGCACCTGTCACCTGTTTTGCAAGGTTCCCACTGGTCATGGAATTTCTGGAATATCATAGATTTTATTTAAGTTTCTATTCCTGACATTGAAAGCCAAGTCATGGAATTTTATGGATTTTTGTTGGTCATTTAAAATTTGACTTTCCATTTAGCAAAATATTTTGTTTCTGTCGCATTTCACTATTGCCTATTGTTATGATTTGTCTTTTTAGAGTCTAGAGTCTATTAGTCAATATTTAAACAGGGCTCGAAATTAACCTTTTTTTTTGGTAGCACCGGTGCTCCTAACTTCAACCACACAAAATTTTGTCGCACTCACCAAAAACTATGAGCACAGTTACTACACGGTTTATATTAACAGATTCTTTTAAAATTTTAATTGAATTGAATCAACTCTAATCAAAACTAACAAATAAACAAAAATCTGCATGCACTCACCGGCTTTGCAAGCACTGCTTGACGTGAATGAGATGAACTGAGTTACAATAATAACTGTGCTGTTCACGTCATCTTAATAGCAGTACACTGCAAAAAATTATTTTCTTGCTTAGATTTTTTTGTCTTGTTTTCTAGTCTAAATATCTAAAATTTCTTATATCAAGAAGCATTTTCTAGACAAGCAAAACATATTATCCTGTTTTGAGAAATAATATACCAATATTAAGTGAGTTTTTTTCCTTTAAACAAGCAAAATAATCTGCCAATGGGGTAAGCAAAATATTCTTGTTTTTTCTTTTGACGTAAGATTATTTTGCTTACCCCATTGGCAGATTATTTTGCTTGTTATAAGGAAAAAATCATTTAATATTGGCACATTATTTCTCAAAACAAGACAATTTGTTTTTCTTGTCAAGAACATTCTTCTTGATTTAGGAATTTTTAGATATTTAGACTAGAAACAAGACAAAAAATCTAAGTAAGAAAAGCATTTTTTGCAGTGTAGCGGTCTTTTCATGAGCTGCAATATTAGTTTCATCTCGGTGAATGCATGCTCTTTAGCAATAATGAACGCGGTGTCAATCGCACGACTCACAGCATCGTGATAATTAAATGAAGGATTAAATAACGTTAGAACATCTCATGCTTAATGCGTTGTGGCAAACACTGAAAACTGAATACCTGAAAAACACCTGAAAACTCCGTCCCACCGGCTTTACAGTGAATGCTTTAGTCATTTTCATAGCGGACTTTAACCACTGTAAGTCTTTTATCCTCTCTTCTAAAAAAGTGTAAATGCTGGATTAACGTTTATTACATGATCACTTATCAGATGTTCCATTATTTGTAATTTTAGGTGGTTTCTAAATCTGTCAGAGTTATCTTTATTCTCTCGTATCCAGACCTTTTCATTTTCGTGGCTGTAGCTCCGTGTCATCGGAACGGAGTGATTGACAGCTGATATTAACCAATCCGTTCGCGTTCTGTTCTAGAGCAGTGGACCAGTAAGTAGAGCTGAAGGCGGGACAAGCATTGCAGACTTAGTTTAATACAAGAAGTTGACATGTCAACTGTTTTAATTCCTGAGTGCTGCGATGGGTGTTTCTAGGTGCAAAAATGCATAATGCGTGAATGCCTCATAAATCCGCACATGTGGTGAACAATTTTGCTGTGAAAACTGGATGCACAACAGCAATTTTATGCCTGCACAAATGCTCCCAAATATAATTTTAGGTCGCATAGATAAATTATAGGCGCATATGTGACCAAAACGGTCACAATTTTGAGCCCTGTTAAAACATTATGATTTTGAACATCAAACAGCATAAGTTGTTTTGTTTTGCTAAAATTAATAGAAGTAAATGAGGCAGGAAGTCTTGACGCATTTATGTGAAGTTTATTTATAAACCGCTTCACGTGCTTATGATTGACCACGGCTGGTCCCGCCAATCAAATAAATCCAAAACACATAAATAACCGGATTTCCTTAGCTTAGTCATCTTTGTCTTGTAGATTCACTCCATCCACTCCGACTCCTTCCCCTTTTTTCTGGCATAGGTCCTGGCTGGCCCAGTTGGCGTATCTGTGTGGAGTTTGCATGTTCTCTCTGTGGTCTTGTGGGTATGGATGGAAGGGCATCTGCTGCGTAAAACATATGCATAATAGTTGGTGGTTTATTCCACTGTGGCAACCCCTGATTAACAAAGGAATAAGCCGAAGGAAAATTATGAATTCAGGGGATCTCTCGAGATCTACCTGACCTCAGACTCCCCTCTCTCCTGATGAAATGGGAGGGAGCTACAGGCTCGAGGATCTTCAGAGCTCAGAACTCTCTCCCGGGACAGCATGCCAAACACGCATTTACTTATAAATCATCAGCAAAGTGTGAACTCTTGAAGTTGCAATGGCTGCATTACTTTTAAGTGAAAAATAAGGTGGATAGGTCATGGAAATTCAGCTTTTTAGTATGTGAAAATCAGAGATAAGTCAGGGAATTTGACAGTTTGCATAGAGCTTCCTGATTTTGAGATTTTTTATTTGTTTAGTGTCTTTTTAGTCTGAAATAATGAAAACATTTAAAACACTTGACTTAACTTGACACTTGCCATTTGTCACACTTGGACTAAAACAACATTTTATTATGTTTGCTGTTTTTTTCTAAATGTTGGAGAGATGAAAATATACCCAAAGATGCGACTTTATCAAATGTTTTGAGTTTCTGCTAGAAATATATACAAATTAGTGCAAATTAAGTGAAAGATTTTCTTTTCGGCTCAGTCCCTTTATTAATCTGGGGTGGCTACAGCGGAATGAACCATCAACTTATCCAGCATATGTTTTACACAGCGGATGCCCTTCCAGCTGCAACCCATCACTGGGAAACATCCATACACTCTCATTCACACACAAACACTATGGACATTTTTAGCTTACCCAATAAACCTATACCGCATGTTTTTGTGGGGGAAACCGGAGCTTTTGGAAAAATTGTAATACAAAATTCTTTGCAATTCTTAATATAATTAGTCAACTGATTTACCCTGTTTACCTGCAGCATCTTGCCTTAATGTTTTAAAGGAGTTTGTTTTTACTTGCAGTGCCCAGAAAGACAAAACCGGACAGAACGATAGTTTGACCCGCTCTAAAGGCCCAGAGGTACATCATTCCTTGCAGTCTAACATAATTAGCATCGATGTTTGATACACAAGTTGCTCTGAATATTTGACATGATAAAAAATGAAAGATGTGTTGTACACAAGCTTCTCCGCGCATTCCTGCAGTCTCACTAGATTATGGTTACACTTCTACACCACATTTGGTTAGAATGAAAAATCGTTGTTTAGCTTAGCTGTGGAATATTTAATGTTTTCAATAAAGTAAAAGTAAGAATAACTGTAATTTTGCTAGCAATCAAGGTAATCATTTGCAGGACTGAAGCAGTATATTAAATATGACATTCCCCAAAAAACAAACATTTTAGATTAAAAAAAAACAACTTTTTAGATCAATAAACTGTTGTATAAAATATAGCAAACAAAAATATAGGACTTTTTCAGACCATTAATTAATATAGATTAACAGAGTTAGCATTCACTATAAAACATTCTCTCTCTGTGAAGGCTTTAGTGTTGGTTTAAATACAGCTTTTCCAGCGTCTACAGATAAGGGATTTTCAGGGATTATTTGGGATTTGACTAATGCTGATATATGATCTAATCTACGATAAGCATTCTCATACATGTATGTGTGTGTTGCAGAAAGAGAAGACTAAAGCCAAGTTTGTGATGGTCAACACTCTGGAGGACACTCAGGCAGTCCGCGCCGTGGCTTTTCACCCTACAGGAGCGTTATATGCTGTCGGCTCCAACTCTAAAACCCTGCGTGTGTGTGCTTATCCAGACACACTGGACACCAGGTCAGACTCACAAACAAGCTGCTTCAATCAGCTCACTCTGACAAGTTACTAATGCATGTGCACAGCTTTATTTCTGAACACTTAAAATAAAAAAGAACTAACTCTGCTGTTGGATAATTCATGGGGTGTGTGATATGTATGTGTGATCAGGCTGTAATTATGTTGTAGCTTAATAAAAAATTTGTTAATATTCATCAAAATTTAAAGAGCACAATGGTAGCACAAATGTCTCATATAAGATTTTGTTGTTTGTAAATAGTGTATTTATATAAAGTAAGCTATATAACTCACTAAAAAACTATTTTAACACAAGCAAAAGCTGAACAAGGCCAAATCAACACATAGAAGCAATTTCTCTCTCTCCCTTTCTCTAAAAAAACAAAACAAAACACTTTAATTCTCTGAGAACAAACATGTTACTTTGTATAATCAGAGGTGGGTAGAGCATCCAAAATCTATACTCAAGTAAAAGTACAAGTGCTTGTGAAAATTTTTACTCAAGTAAAAGTAACAATCTTAAAAGAGTTCAAAAGTATCTGATGAAAAAATTGCAAGTAAATAGTTACTAGTTACTTTTCATTATTTAAATATATATATATATATATATACATACACACACATACAGCTGTAGGTCAAAATAATTTGCCCTACTGTGAATTTTGTTTCTTTTTTTTTTTTTTTTTAAAGTTTTTCCCAAATGATGTTTACCAGAGTAAGAAATTTTTCACATTATGTCTTATAATAGTTTTTCTTCTGGTGAAAGTCCTACTTGTTTTATATCGACTTAAAATCAGTTTTTAATGCTTTTAAAACCATTTTAAGGCGCCTAATTACCCTAACCTGCCGAATTAACCTAGTTAGGCCTTTCAATGTCACTTTAAGCTGCATACTTGTATCATGTAGTACTAGCATTATGTGGTGTCTTCATGGCAACGATAAAAGAAATTAGTTATTAAATATAAGTTATCAAAACATGGTTAACAGTGTAACAGGTAATCAGTTATTCCATTATACAGCACTTTCTTTAGTTGACCCATAGTTATCATTAATAAGGTTCAAATTGGGATAATATTGTCAGGACGTGTTTTTTTTAGGTTGGAGCTGTAACTCGTGTACGTTATATGTTGCAATGTCAGTTTAATGTACAGCAAGGATCGCATTACCAAACTATTCTTGTTGACATCTTGGAGTGAAAACATAGATTGAACTTGAGGCCACAGTTGACCTGGTCTGATAAACTCACTACACAGACAGCGTGAACGTCCTTCTCAGAACCGCAGAGGGCCATGGCATGACCACAGTATAAACGCACACGTCTTTCTCGGATTCAGCCATCATTCTAACTTAGGTGGGACCGTGCAACAGAAAGCGGGAGATGTTTCTCTATAGCCACCTCTTGCGACACAACCTCTCCAGTGCGGCGCCTCGCGATATTTGCAAACAAGTCATATGAATCATATTTATAATCATTTCACAGTAACGAATGAACACCGCCAAATGTAGGGAAGTAAGATTTCTCTATAATTATTTATTTGAGTAAAAGTACACATTTTTAAATGTACTCAAAGTACACGTTACCCAACAATTTTACTCACGTAAATGCATCAAAGTAAATGTGATCCGTTACTACCCACCTGTGTGTGTAATTATCACTTCTGGTGTGTATTGCTTCTTTTTGTTAAATCGCTGAATACCTCCTCAATTGTTATTTGCTTTGGACGAAAGCGTCTGCTAAATGTAAATGTAAAATATTAGAGGGATTTTTTCCAAAATATCAGCATGATCACAACTATAAGATAAATTTTATGCAACAGTTTATTAAACAAGTTAATATTGGTGTTACATTTTAGCACAATATTGTCAGTTTTGTTTTTTCTTTTGAACTTGTGTTTGCAACACACAGCATTTAAAATAGATCAAAGCTTCATTTGAATAAATGAATCAAGTGAGTTGATGCTATCTACTTGTGGTTTTGGTTTTCATTGTAAAGTATTATTTCAAATGAAAAATATATACATTCAAAATGCTGTATTAAACAAAAATGCATTATTAATGCAATTGTAAATTTGAAAACTTTTAAGTATTAAAGTTTAAGACCTAAATATCAATATCAAAAATGTGTGAGAGAACATGCGAGATCACAAAATTTGTGATAAAATAAAATGATTTAAATTGAACAGTACTGAAGACAGGTTGGATGCACCATTGAACTACAAAAAAAAAACATCTTAAGCTGTTATCTCTATGATGATCACACATGGACGGATTATTAAGATGTCTGTAAAGGCATACCTGTACAAATCTCTTTAAAGTTATTTATATTCAACTCAAATCAAACGCGGTGCTGCTCGAACTGTTCACCCGAAATGTGTTCACTCCGCCAGCTGAAATCATATCTCGCACATTGGAAGCGAACCTCTGCAAACACAGCAATGACGTCACATTCGCTGCGCTTACCAAGTTCAATAACAGAAAGCTGATTGGCTATTGCATGTTAGTCTCATTTGTAGTTGTAATACTGCAAACTACACTAGGACTAGTAAAGTAAAGAACTACAACACCACGAAAACCAAGCAACAACAACAAAAAAGAATTTAAATGAGCATTAGATGTAGCGTTACATGGACATTGGAAAAATAAGACCTGTGCAAAAATATTTAAGAACTACAACTACGGATTTAAGATTTTTTAAGGCCTGAAAGTTAGATTTTTAAATATGAGACTTTTTAGGAACCCGCGGAAACCCTGATTTAAGTTGGAATTAAATAATGGCAAATAAAAAAAGATTATATATAAAAATATTTGCACAGAAAATACTGTCTATGCCAGGTTTCAACCCATCAATAATCCAGCACAATAACAGTGAACAAATTAATGTCTAATTGTTGTTACTAACCAAATCTTGGACAAATTGTCAATGTTTGTTATTCCAAAGAAATTAAATGTTTATTTTTGTATATTTTTTGACTTGCTCTGGTTGGATCAACACAGTGGCAGTTCATTTGCATGGAATCCAGTTGATCGACGAATGTCTTTATATGGTTGTTCTGTTGTTTCTCTCAGTGGTACGGGGACGAACAAACCTCCTGTAATCCGCTTCAAGAGGAACAAGCATCACAAAGGCTCCATATATTGTGTGGCCTGGAGCCCCTGTGGACAATTACTGGCCACCGGTTCCAATGATAAATATGTCAAAGTGCTGCCCTTCAACCCTGAGACCTGCAATGCTACAGGTGAGAAAGAGAGAGACTGCAAACAAAAATACACTTTACAACAAGACATCACAGAATACACTGACACATTTTGAAGTATTTTCAAATCAGGGCTGAAATGGTAAACCACTCAATGCATGTTTTTGTTACTTAATACATGTTAGTTGCCTATGAAATATATATATATATATATATATATATATATATATATATATTCATTCATTCATTTTCTTGTCGGTTTAGTCCCTTTATTAATCTAAGGTCGCCACAGCGGATTTAACCGCCAACTTATCCAGCAAGTTTTTTAGGCAGCGGATGCCCTTCCAGCCGCAACCCATCTCTGGGAAACATTCACATACACTCATTCACACACACACACTCATACTCTGCAAACAATTTAGCCTACCCAATTCACCTGTACCGCATGTTTTTGGACTGTGGGGGAAACCGGAGCACCCGGAGGAAACCCACACGAACGCAGGGAGAACATGCAAACTCCACACAGAAACGCTAACTGAGCCGAGGTTCGAACCAGCGACATTCTTGGTGTGAGGCGAACGTGCTACCCACCCAAATATATATATATATATATATATATATATATATATATATATATATATATATATATATATATATATATATATATATATATATATATTGTAGGGATAATTTACAGTTTAACCCAAAGAATGACCAGTCTGGTAGATGAAGAAGAGCCGGAGTCAGAGATTTAAATAAATAAATCAAGTTTACTGAAGATAGTTTGCAGTTTCATTCGCAGAAGCCAGCTTCAACACTCGCAATGAGTTCCTAGGCCGCTCTGCTTACAGTTTCAACAATCGAACAATTATACTCTTTACACAAGTCCAGAAAGGGTGGGATCCAGGTAAACAGTTCTCATTGGTTACAACAGAAATAGACAATTCTAAATACATGCGTCAAAGAAACATAGTATCTACTTCCAGATATGGATGGCCTTAATGCGTGCGTCAAAGAAAGCATTGTATCTGTCTCCAGATATGGATGGCGACCTGATGCCTAGAGGTGAGGTCGCCTTAAGTTATTAGGAGCTGATCTCCGACGTGTAAAAAGCTAAACCAGGAAAACAATTGACACAAACGACCATCTGTGTTAAAGACTCAAGGATGTTTCTTGTACGTTCAGCTGTGTTATCAGGCTGTTTCAAGACTGTTTCCATCAACAGTCTGCTGCAATATCTTGGCTACACACAGTCTGTCTCCACACAAAAAGGAATTACATTACTATTAATTATACTCAAAAACAGATCAATCAAACAGCTATAAAATTATAGGCAATATATCAGGACAATAAAACAGCTGTCTTCTTCTCCTCTGTATTGGACCTCCAGTCATAAGAAAAGATGGAGAGAGAGAGAGAGAGAGGGCTCCATGACCTATGACCTGGTTTGTGTGTCTCCTGAAAACAAAGTTAAAATAGACAGGCAAAAAGAGAAACAAGGACACAGAACATTTTTGCAGTAAGCAGTTTTAACTTATTCGTTAGTTAAAATCAATTCACAGTTAAATACTGAGAAACAGGATGATGAAAAGGATAAACGGTGGTCCATGATGAGACGAATTGGAAAGCAGAAATCCGAATCCTTCAGTCCCCCCTTTTGACCCGAATGGAGTCCAAACTCCGCTTCCGGTCAACCAGTGAGGTCACTAAGGAGAGTGAAAGTAATGACTCATGCTCCCTTAATAAGTTTGCAGAGTTTTCTTCACCCCTTCTTGGACAAGCTGGAACCTAAAAATTCCAGTCCCCAAGCTAAGGGCTCTTTCACTCTCCACCCACAAAAGGAGTTCACGCTTCTCATCATCGGTGGGATTAAGGGTCCTGCAAGCAGAAGTGAAAACATACAAAAAAAAAACTACAGCGGACCAAAGTCCAGAATGTGAACACAAATGCGCAAGCCCTAAAAGTCCTCCAGAAGTAAACAACTCATAATTTCCATCGATACTTCCTCTGATGCATCTACAACTTGCTCCAACTCTAAATCCAAACATACAGGCTAATTCTAGTGCTCAGAGATCCTCTGATCAGACACAAAAGGTCATCCACTCGACCTAAGCCACACAGGATTCAAATTCATGACCTGCAAAAACATCTTTATCTTCACCAGTTTTAAAACATTCATCAGCGTGTTCTGTAACTTCAAATTAGAATAATGAAGCATTTTTACATTAACACACATTAAACATGCCAGCAGCACAGTCGTCCAATTCAGCACCATTACCATGTTTAATTATCACCTTGCTGAACTCCATGTCAGTCAAGTCCACTTAAAATATATTTTTATTCAAATAATGATGTGATTGGAGTGATGCAACACATTCCTCTGTATCATTGATAGGAAGTGTACAAGCACCCTTGTCCTGGCCATAATGAGCCAAATTCACCTTCACAGTTAACAAACTAATATCAAATCCACTCTCTGGAAGCCGGGCTAAATGAATTGAGCCAGACCCTCAGTCACCTCAAAGAGACTAGATATAGATATCACCTGTTACCTAAAGACCAAGAAAGATGTAATGGTTTTTACAAACTATTAATCCAAGTCATTAACATGCAATAAGAGGGATTGTGAATCAATTTCTTTTGTTCCCACGTTTTAGGGGTTTAACAAAATCTTAGTCAAATTTAACAAAGATCAAACCTGAGTAATTCAAACTCAAGCATCTTTTAACAGAAATAAGACTTAACCTTATAATTATCTTCTCAACTTGTCATTTGTACCATTTACTTTACTCTGACTAAACCATTCAACATTGATTTTGTAAAAAATTCATTTGATTCTTACTGTCTGGTCAATTAGAAATGCTCACAGGTTAGCTATTTGCTCAAACTTTTGATTATTTGAAAACCTTTCATACATGTCATTTGACAGTGAAACCTGTTTGAAAGCATTACCAATTGAACAAGAACAGACTGAGTTAACAACTCTTTTACCACATATAATCAAGACTCTTGCTTGGATATGGACTACTAAATTTTCATTTAAAGACAGTCTAAGTTTCTGTAAAACTTGTCAGTATTTACAATAATAATATTGACTTGAGTTGACTTGACTGCTTAAAAATGCTGTTAAAGGTCACGCTGCATTTCTGTTTACTAAAATGTTAATTTTCGCTGCAGCAGTATAAATACTTCTTACTGAATTCAACCATCAGATGCAAACACTTTCATTCAACTTTATCTCTTTGTTCTACACAACATCCAAACAATTATGTTCCTCTACCATTGAGGACACACACACACAGACAGAGTGATTTACTGCAGCATTTGCCTTTAACACAAATGACTTCGACTCAATTCTCTGCTTATTTTTCCTATGCTAGAGTGAGGATGCTTTCTGGACTATTGTGGTTAGTGACTTAGCCAATGTCACTGTTTAAATGCCATCAAGTCTAAAATATTTAACATTAATATTCAGATAGCAAAGAATTAACTGTAATTAACCTTTGAACTTCTCAGTCAATTTAGACATGGGTTTGTAACCTGATATGGATGGCAGTCTTCAATTTCACAGCTATAAGCTAATAAAACTTGTTTTAAAATTATTATTATTCCAGAGAGTAATCTGAATCAGGAAAAGAAGTCATTATTAACCATTGCAAACAGAGCCGGATAACCCATCCGTTTAAAGCTCATCTCATGGTCTGCATCATCTTTTTTTTTTTTTTCAGATTCACTCAGCATTATTGACTTCTGCAATGTCTGGCATTTCGCTTATACAATCTGTAATAATATAACACTCATTCCAGAGGCTAGTGACAATATTCATACAACAGGGACGAATCATTCCCTCAGGACAATAAGCATTATTGTACCATAGATATGAATATTGTGACAGCTCATAACTAAGTTTGCTTTTGGTGTTGAACTCGCACAAATTTATTCTTAAAATTCTCTGTCCTGTTTCAACTGGATTTACATATCAAGTTTCAAAGTTTCTGTTCATAATCAATGTCTTTTCTGAGACAATCAGCTGGTGCATTTTGTTTTCTTAATATCGTTGCTAAGCAAGTCGATAACAGAAACAAAACACAACCCATGGCTTCACTCAAACAGTCTCTGTCTCTCTGTTTCATGCACATAAATTTTCAATAGTCTTAGACTATAACATTAAAATGATTACAATTCAGAATCTTTAATCATTTACCAGCGTTCCAAATGTCAAAAGTTTTTATCTCTCAAAACTCAGTTGGAACTATTTAAAGACTAAGAGAATTTCTTGTAATTATTTTACCTTAACTGCTTAATTCCATTCAGCTGTGTTATCCAAACCATCTCACAGCCAGTCTTTATCTTTAGCCAACACCATCTCGAAATTGTCCTTCGCCATGCATAAGGACCTGCATTAGTAAAATACTATGAAAAATCAGACACATCAGTTAAAAATCATCTCAGCTTCACATTCAGGAATTCTGCATTCTTAAAATTCAGACATATAAAATATCCAGTGCTGTTAAAGCAGCCAACCACATTGATATTGGTAAATTTTTAAGAAACTTTACTGTCTCCAATGGTTCTTGAAAGCCCATTGCCATTATCTTTTTACCAATCATCTCCTTCAGGGTATCATACCCTGGCATAGTCCGTTGATGCTTGTCACAAGGACAGACATGTCCTCAATAAAGGCAGGATTCTCGTGATCAGGTCTGGACGGGGCCACTGAGGCAGATTACTGTAACTTCAAACAGTTCCCCTCTAAGGATGCTTTAGGCCGATAGAGCATCACCCCAGTCCAGCACCATCTTTCACATTAAACATCCCCCTTTTCGGGTAGATGCCCCGGGGTTTACGAGGGGTCCCATGCCCTAGGTTGTTTTCCGCTTTGGCCAAGGGAAAATCTTACCCGTCTTAGGGAACCCCCCTTCGTGCCCACCGGTCAACTGCCACTCACACTGCAAGCTCCTGTGCAGGCTTCCTCCTTGATTCAGAATTTTCTACATGGGAAAGTGCAGTCAAGAACCATGAAAGCCATTGAGACTACCTACTAGAATTCAACATTGAGACAGGTTAATCAAACACTTAAATCAACTGAATATCAAGCTGAGATTATTCAGGGAGTTTAGATATCACCCTGATCCATTCAGTGTCAGGGTCTGCTACCTCAGTATAGCCATCAGGCCCTGTATGTGATGGTGGAGACTAAGGATAAGACGAAAGTTTCAAACAGTAATAAACCACTGAAGACAAGAAAAGAAATTTCCAAACAGTAATAACAACTGTTCAAATTAATTATCTCTATAGCTCAGCGGGTATATTAGTGTTTTTCAAGATGCTTTAATAAAAGCATTTTCATTTATTCATTTCTCTGTTCACTTAGTCCCTTTATTAATCTGGGGTCGCCACAGCGGAATGAACTGCCAACCTATCCAGCATGTTTTTATGCAGCTGGTGCCCTTTCCAGCCGCAACCCATCACTGGGAAAAAAACAAAACAAAAGCATTTTGCAATCTCTTATTTGTTAACTTTGATTTTTAATTACTAATACCTCTATTAGTGTATAAAAATTTAAATGTAGAATTTCTGTATTCATTCTAGCATTTCCTTTACTTTGTGATTTCCAACTGAGCACTGTGCTTATCAATTGTTATGGAACAGGCAGATAGCAGCTCTTAGCTGACATCTAATGAGAGAGAAAGAGAGTTTTGAGCAATCTAGAATGAAAATGCATGTTTACTAAATTTAAACATACATTAAACATAACATTAACTTCAATAACATAATTTCGTTGTAATATCTTTTTACATAAACCCGTCCTAAAACATATAAAACAGAGTTGACATGCATTTTCAAAGTAATGCTGGTACAGTCAACAATAGTTTTAGATCTTTCAGGGGTTAACTGCATCCATCAAAGTATTATTTGAAACCCCCATTTATGTTACATATATATTATTAAAAATACATATATCAAACCATAAAGCTGCTTGTTTGCACAGACTTACATGGCACATTTTTATTCAGACATGTCTCTGTTACTTTTACAGCCAAAACTCAGTCAAAAGTCATGGTGAGGGCTAAACCAAGATAACAGTGCAGTCACACAGAATCTTATCTTCTAAGACAAAACATAAGCTATTCTTTATTCCCATAATGTTACTGTCAGTTTCTGTGCTTAGTTTTTGCTACTAGCCCCTCAATATTTAGATTTTAGCTTTTCAATGACAATTAAATGCCAAAAGAATACTTTTTTTTTTTTTTTTCTTACAATCAGTTCTAAAATAATTTTATACCCGAGAGCTTAGCTGAGCCATTTACTGCATTCTGCTCTCACCTATTTCTTTTTATATCAGAGTTCAACACCAAAAGCAAGAAGAAATTGAGAGGGCAATCTTACCAACATTGCTTGGCTTCTGCTTGATGAATCTGCAAACCATCCCAAGATGTGCAAACTGTCTAGACCGGTCCAATCCAGTTAGGGTCATAATTTTCTCGGGATTGCTCCTGGTGCATCATTGATCAATCAACCTCACCCTGATATTTCTAGGTATCTTGTCTGACTTTTGTGGCCACTACTTTCTAATGGATCCCTATTATAATGTTATTTTTATGCAATTATTTCTTTCCCTAATAATCTGACCTACACTATTCTTATGGCATGCCTTTTGTCTGTGATGTAGTTAGATAGCAGTGGTGGAACTCAATTACAATCTCGGGTTAATTTAGTCCACTACTAAATAGAAAACCAGTCCAGGTTTTATGCCCGAGAATGTCCCAAAAGCCTCCTAAACACCCATCAAATGAGTACTCTAACTCCGGGTGAAGGAGAAGGTACACCTCTCAACTACTGTTACACTTATCAGTATTGCTATAGGTGTACCACAAAATGCACCAGCTCGCTAAGGGATTCCACAGCAATCTACCACAAAATCCTGTGAATCCACCGGCGCCTTTTATTCACGTCTGAATAAGAACCAACAACATTCATTCACGTCTGAATGAGAACCAAAAACGTTCCGTTACTACCCACTACTTCACAGACAATCCCTAGTCTTATAATTTTAAATCTTCCTACCTTCATTTTGTTGATTGATCAATGGTGTTACCAGTAAACAAGTGCCACGCGTCCTCCACCAAAACTGTAGGGATAATTTACAGTTTAACCCAAAGAATGACCAGTCTGGTAGATGAAGAAGAGCCGGAGTCAGAGATTTAAATAAATAAATCAAGTTTACTGAAGATAGTTTGCAGTTTCATTCGCAGAAGCCAGCTTCAACACTCGCAATGAGTTCCTAGGCCGCTCTGCTTACAGTTTCAACAATCGAACAATTATACTCTTTACACAAGTCCAGAAAGGGTGGGATCCAGGTAAACAGTTCTCATTGGTTACAACAGAAATAGACAATTCTAAATACATGCGTCAAAGAAACATATTATCTACTTCCAGATATGGATGGCCTTAATGCGTGCGTCAAAGAAAGCATTGTATCTGTCTCCAGATATGGATGGCGACCTGATGCCTAGAGGTGAGGTCGCCTTAAGTTATTAGGAGCTGATCTCCGACGTGTAAAAAGCTAAACCAGGAAAACAATTGACACAAACGACCATCTGTGTTAAAGACTCAAGGATGTTTCTTGTACGTTCAGCTGTGTTATCAGGCTGTTTCAAGACTGTTTCCATCAACAGTCTGCTGCAATATCTTGGCTACACACAGTCTGTCTCCACACAAAAAGGAATTACATTACTATTAATTATACTCAAAAACAGATCAATCAAACAGCTATAAAATTATAGGCAATATATCAGGACAATAAAACAGCTGTCTTCTTCTCCTCTGTATTGGACCTCCAGTCATAAGAAAAGATGGAGAGAGAGAGAGAGAGAGGGCTCCATGACCTATGACCTGGTTTGTGTGTCTCCTGAAAACAAAGTTAAAATAGACAGGCAAAAAGAGAAACAAGGACACAGAACATTTTTGCAGTAAGCAGTTTTAACTTATTCGTTAGTTAAAATCAATTCACAGTTAAATACTGAGAAACAGGATGATGAAAAGGATAAACGGTGGTCCATGATGAGACGAATTGGAAAGCAGAAATCCGAATCCTTCAATATATATATATATTTTTTTTTTTAGTGTTTAGTATTACCTGAAACTATAATAACCATGAGATAAAAACTAAAATAGAAGACAAAAACACAACAAAAGTGCTACAACTAAAACTGAAATGAAAGCCTAAAATAGGAAAGTAAAATTAACTCAAATATGTAACTAAATTCGGTAACTACTTAGTGATACTAAACTGTCATTGTCAGACTAGTGAAAAAAACTTCCAAATCACGGTTCATTTTATTGCTCTTTAACCATTTACATATGAAGATTTTAATCATAATATGTCTTTTTCAAAAAAAAAAAGAATTTTAATTTCTTAAGTAGCACTTACATAAACCACAGTTTTATTTCTTCTTGTATTCAGAATGTTTAAAAACTTTTATTGTGCACACAAAATGGAACAAGGCATTTTAAACTCATTTATCCAATTTCGAGATTTCTGTTTTAATGCAAATAAATGCATATTTAATGACAATGCCTCATTTCCATATTTAAACATTTAATAAAAGCTGTAGTTTAAAATAGTAGCAATGATGACATTGATTAGTAACACATTTACCCTATTTATCTTCAGTCTTTTTGCCTTATTGGAATAATTTAATTTTGACTATTACGCCCCAAGTCTAGGGGAAAAAACTATGGGCATAATAAACAAAATAAGGTTATGGGTGGTGGATTTCCCAAAGGAAACAAAAAAACTTTTGCCAAAAATCCCCTACGGTCGACAACCAAATGCGGACACTCAGTTGAGAGTAATTAAATCGATTTATTATTAAAAAAGTAGCAATTTAAATGAGGATCTCTTCAGGATGGCTTCTGCCCAAAATAACAAACGAAGAATCTGCAAAGTAAATAAACTAAATTACCTGTAAATCTTTAAAGGAAAATACAGGAAGCTTATCTTCTTTCCTAAACATAAACAAAATCAAAAGTAATCAAATAAATCGGCAGGCTACCCATACAAGCTCTAACTCTCAAAAAGTAAGCATATATGGACATTTCGACAGGATTAAAGATTGGTCGTCGGCCGGAGGGGTAGGGAAATTCAGGAGCTCTCCACTCCCAGCAACCGTCACACTAAAAATGAGCTCCTCGAACTCTGCCAGAAATTTAGGTTTATAGCTCTCCACGACCAGCAGCCAATCAGAGCCTGGACCACATTTACATGGGAGCCTATTGGAACACAAAAAACAAAACAAAAACGGTGGAACAAAGGAAAAGACGCAATACAGTGTGCAACAAAAATAAATAAGAAATCATTAGTCGTAACAGACTGAATGACTTTTATTTTAGATATTTAACTTCACACACTGTCATTTCTTTCGTGCCATTGATCACTCTCTCTGCTTCAGGTCCTGATCTGGAGTTCAGTATGCATGACGGCACTATTAGAGATCTGGCGTTTATGGAGGGTCCCGAGTGTGGAGGAGCCATTCTGATCAGTGCAGGAGCAGGAGACTGTAACATCTACACCACCGACTGCCAGAGAGGACAAGGCCTGCACGCGCTGAGCGGACACACAGGTACATACTAGTGTAGTCACCATACTGGAGTCACTTACTTTAATACAATACCATAAATAAATATCCATACGCGATACTACAAGGAAGTACTGGCACAATATTGATTGAAATTACATTCATGTATGTCTTTAAGAGTTGAAACATTAAGCAAGGCTCACTGAACTACTGCTCCAGTCAGATTCAGACTTTCACTTGGTCTGCTAAAATTTTACTGGCCAAAGTAAAACAGTTATAATTTAAAGCAGGGGTGTCCAAACTCGGTGTCCTGCATCGTTTAGCTCCAACTTTTTTTCAACTCACCTGCCTGGAGCTTTCTAGTATGCTTAGAAAAAGCTTAAAAAGTTGATTCAGGTGTGTCTAATTGGAGTTGAAACTAAAATATGCAGGACACCGCCCCTTCATGACCGGCCCTGATTAAAGGAGTAAAGTAACATTTGAAATTTTTTTGGTTGTTAATTTGAATCATGTAAAAGTCATATAATTTATGCCATATACTGTAGCAATTCATATTGTAATATTGGAAAAGAAACTATTAACCTAACCTATATAATATTAAAATGTTGAAGTCATGTGAACAGTCTGTAGTAAACAACTAGCAGAGCATAATTAATATCAACTGAACAAATATACAGATTGAAATAGTGCTTAACAATTTGCAGGTAGGTCTAATAGTGATGTTGTCTTTGGTTATTGAATAATATTAATCTTAGAAATGTCTGTTTCCTTTTACTTTAGACTTTTTTAAAGACAGATGTTGTGTTTTAAGATGGATGTTTGGACAATATTTTACATATCTTTGACCCATTTCTGAGGCACAGGAACATAAATTAAGAATGCAATTCTGAGAGAGAAAGAGATTTTTAGATTTTACAAATACTTTTTTAACAAGCAATTAGTTAACAATTCAATTACAAATCAGATCAATTCATTTGTACAATACATCTCATTAATAACAAAACAACCCTACATCGCAACACCAGTCTATTTCCTAAACATTAATTGCATTCATCATTTTATAATAATTAAAATCAACAATGATTCTTGATTTTACTAGGTTTATAAAAACTAATGTCCTTACCTTTCCTCTTTTCTATTTCATGTCTCTTTAACCCAATATAAAGAGACAGACAAACAGCTTGATCTGTAACCTGAATTCTGAAATGTATATGGATTTTGGAGGAACTTCTTTGTAACGAACCGCTGTAAACTCTGCATTAATGAGCAAAGTAAAACTGTAGTGGAACAGGCCACACTGTGTAACACCTTACCAAACAGCTTTAAGTGGCCTGAATGAGAATATGTGTTGTGTTTTCTCTGCTCAGGTCATATTCTGTCTCTGTACACGTGGGGGGGCTGGATGATCGCGTCTGGTTCTCAGGATAAGACGGTGCGTTTTTGGGACCTGCGTGTTCCCAGCTGTGTGAGAGTGGTGGGAACAGCCTTTCAAGGCTCAGGTGGGCTTGTATTTGACTTTTTTCAATTCATTTTAAATGTACTTTTATAGTGCTTTTCATAATAATTATCATTCCAAAGCAGCTTCACAAAAGGTGCACATCATTACATTATTATCAAACTCTGAAAAGGTAAGGAGTTGTGTAAAGGGTTTGCTGTATATAAACGTAGCTAGCCAGAAATAATATTTACATGTAATAATAATGCTTGTTCAATGAAGTGTGTTTATTTATTAAGTGTTTGTTGTCCTCGAAGATCTCGGATGGTTGGCATCATCATTTCAAGTCCTCATAGGGTTGGCATCTCTACAAAGTTCTTGAATGACTCCACAATCTAGAGGCAAATACAAAAAGAGAACAAAGAAAGGAATTAGCATAGTTGCTGTTTAAAATTTACTTGCTCAAGTGATATTAATGTAATATGAAAGAATAGATTTGAAAAGTTGAATTTAACTGTATATCCTACAGTTACGTGATGCATTGTCTTTATGCTTTACTAAAAATAAGTTTTTAATCTACTTTTAAACTGACAAAGTGTGTCTGAGTTTTTGACATTATCTGGAAAGCTATTCCTGAGTTTAGGAGCCATATATGAGAAGGCTCGACCTCCTTTAGTGGACTTTTCCATTCTGGGTACTACATGAAGCCCTGAGTTTTGAGTTCTTAAAGAGCGGGTTGGATTGTAGCAAGACAGAAGCTTAAATGCATCTAATAGCAGACCCTTACTGGGTATGCTGGTCATTTATGATCATTATCTGCTTCTAGATAGTTGATCAGATGCTGATGTGGCTGAAATTGTTGTGGTTTATTATTTTAGTAAAGTTGTTGTAGCATCTAAGATAGATTGAACATGAACATTTTTAAATACAGTTTAGAAATGTGAGAATATAGACTAAATAATAAAGGAACTTGTCAATTATTTGTAAATGATAAATAGGTTGGGATTTCACAATGATGAAAGACATATTGAGGGTGCATTATTTATTATAACAGCACAGAGTCAGTTACCTCACTGATAGTGCTGTTACCATGATTATTGAAAATACCATTACATTTGTAACGCAGGTTGGGTAGTTTGTTGATGTGTTTTATGTTGTATGTGTGATTGTACAGGCAGCCCTGTGGCGTCAGTAGCGGTGGATCCAAGTGGGCGTCTGTTGGCGACGGGACAGGAGGACAGCTCCTGTATGCTCTATGACATTAGAGGTGGACGAATGGTTCAGACGTATAAGCCGCACTCCAGTGACGTCCGGTCAGTGCGCTTCTCACCCGGAGCTCATTACCTGCTCACTGGATCCTACGACAACAAGGTCATCGTCACTGACCTGCAAGGTAAGATGTGGGATGTCTCTCAGGTCAGCCTAAGTGCTGTTGAACTGAATGTAGGAAAGCAGTCTGATAATATCGGAGGCATTATGTGAAACTTCACATGACAAACAGGACAACTGCTTTCATCACATCTGTTTGTTGGAGTAAGTGTTAAAGGGGTAGTTCATTTAGACATCCTCCTCTTGTTCCTAAACTGTTTGAGTTTCTTTCTTCTGTTGAACACAAAAGATATTTTAAAGAATGTTGCATTTAGTTCTATTATTCTTTTCCTACTATAGATGTTAATGGTTACTGATTTCCAGCATTCTTCAAAACATCTTTTTGTGTTTAACAGAAAAAAAAACACTTGTGGGTGAGTAGATTTTTACTTTTTGGGTAAACTATCTCTTTAACAACATTAACTAATCACAAAATTGATATACTGTTATGTTAATCAGCTAATGTAGTCAGTGTTTGTATTGTTGCTGTTTTGATTTTATTATCGAAACTTCAGTGAGAACACGAAAAACAAAAAAAACACATTAAAACATTTAATAGCCATCTGCATATGTAATAGACACTGGTTATGTTCAACCACTTCAAAGAAATGGCTTACATAATAAAATATTATAATAAAATATATTTTAAAAATATATAATAAAATATTATAATATAATATTTATTATAATATTATTTATTTTATTTTTTAGCAACATTTTATCTGATTTATATATATATATTTATTTATTTATTTTTATTATTATTTTTTAAAATAATTTTTATGTTTACACCTCTTGACCTTCATATACTGTAACCCAAAAATGCATTAATTCATTTATATTTTATTTGCTTAGTCCCTTAATTATCAGGGGTCATCACAGCAAAATATACCGGCAACTATTCCGGCATATGTTTTACACAGCGGATGCCCTTCCAGCCGCAACCCAGTACTTTGAAACCCATAAATTACACTATACACTACATACACTAAATTACACTTTATTTAATGCATCATGTTTTACGATCTTTAATAAGTTAGGGATTTTTTTGGGGGATGTTTATTTATACTCTGTCTTAACTCTGGTGGTGTGTTTTATAGGTTGTGTGTCTGCTACACTTGCACTTAAAAGGAATTGTTTGCCCAAAAATGAATTTACACATTATTTACTCACCCTCAAGTGGTTCCAAACCTTTTTTGAGTTTCTTTTTTTTCTGCACACAAAAAAAATATTTTGAAAAATGTTGGAAACCGGTAACCATTGACATTAATAGCAGGGGAAAAAAATATCATGGACGTCGATGGCTTCCAGTCTCAAACATTTTTGTCATATTGTACAAGTGAAGGGTGATTAAAGGATGACCAAGCTTTAATTTTTGAGTGAACTATCCCTTTAAGTGCGTTCATATGTACCGTGCTCAGTATATATGAGTACACCCTAGTTTGCACAAAACAATTTACAAACTTCACAAACATTTCAACAAAATGTATATATTTTTGTTTCTTTTGATTTTTGCCATTTTTTAAAATTTTATTTATTATTTTTCTTAAACATTTAAATTTGGGCTACTAATTTTTGAACCATTATTGTACGTTATTTTGTTAGATTAGCTCCAGATTTGGCTTCAGTACTGATTAATCTAATGTAAATGTACAAATATAATATTGTTAAGAAAATATTAATTTAAATGAGAGATTTGTGGGGGGCAGACTCATATATGTTGAGCACTGTATGTTGCAGTATGAGTCCGTAAGCTTTCAGCATGTAAATGAGTGTTTAATGAATGATTATATATGCCCACAGGTGACCTGACGAAGCAGCTGCCGTTGACTGTAGTCGGAGAGCATGGAGATAAAGTGATCCAGTGTCGATGGCACTCACACCATCTCTCCTTCTTGTCCTCCTCCGCTGACCGCACCGTCACACTCTGGACACAGGCCACGTAGAACACCGCTGACCACTACACATAGACAACACATGTACAAACACATCTGCTTCTGTCTGATACCAGTCTGTATTCATTTCATGTTCCTGAAAGGTGAGTGTCAGTGAATGGCTGAGTTCAACGCAAACCCTTTTTTATGCACATATAATGGACTGCCAGTGTGTCTGATGGCCTTGAGTCATGCTTTCCACTATAAATGTGCTTTAGGTTCATAGTCCTTTATGAAACACTGGATCATTTTATTATTTTTACAGTTATTTGATCAATAGCGGTTTCTCTTCTATTTTAATATTTGACATTTTGTGCTAAAACAGCTATAAATCAACAAATGCTTCTTTTTATTTATTTACATACTGACTAATGCAGCATCTTCCTGCACATGTGGTGAAAATATGTTACATTTTAAAGGTAAATCCAATGTTAAAGGCATAGGTCATCCAAACATTTTCATTCTGTCATCATTTACTCTCCCTTCACTTGCTCAAAAATGCTTGAATTTATTTGTTCTGTTGAACACAAAGATATTTTCTTTAAAATATATATTTTTGTGTGTTCTACAGAATAAAGAAACTCATGAAGATTTAATACCATACACAGTTGAAGTCAGAATTATTAGCCCCCTTAGAATTTTTTTCTTCTTTTTTTAAATAGTTTCCAAGTGATGTTTAACAGATCAAGGGAATTTTCACAGTATGTCTGATAATATTTTTTCTTCTGGAAAAAGCCTTATTTGTTTTATTTCGGCTAGAATAAAAGCAGTTTTTAATTATATATAACCATTTTAGGGACAAAATTATAAGCCTCTAAGCTATATTTTTTCTTGATAATCTACAAAACCATTGTTATACAATAACTTGCCTAATTACCCTAATCCGCCTGGGCTAATAATTCTGACTTCAACTGTTAAGTGATGTTATGTCATCATTTACTCACCAATTACTTATCCCAAACCTGTTTGCCTTTCCTTTTTCGCATAATCACAAAAGAAGATATTTTTAAAAATGTCAGAAACCTGTAACTATTGACTTCCATAGGTTTTGTTTATCATAATATAGAAGTTAACGATTACAGGCTTTTGGCTGACTCATAATATATTCTTTAGTGTTCAGCAGAAAGCCATAAGTGTTTAAAACCATATAAGGGAGAATAAATGACAATGTATTATTTTGGGGGGGGGGTGAATTATCTGTCTTAAGCAGGGGTGGCCAATTCTGTTCCTGGAGATCTACCTTCCTGCAGATTTCAGTGGCAGCCCTTATCAAACACACCTGCCTGTAATTATTAAGTGGATTTCAGGTCCTAATTAATTGGTTCAGGTGGGTTTGATCAGGGTAGGAGATAACTGTACAGGAAGGTAGATCTCCAGGAACAGGATTGAGCACCCCTGGTCTAAAGGGATAGTTCACCCAAAACTGAAAATTCTGTCATCATTTACTCACCCTTTACTTATCCCAAACCTGTTTGTCTTTCCTTTTTCTCGTAGTCACAAAAGAAGATATTATAAAAATGTTGGAAACCTGTAATCATTGACTTCTATTTATTTATTCTATTACGGAAGTCAGTAGTTACAGGTTTTGAGCTTTCTTCAAAATATCTTTTTTTGTGTTTAACATTGTGTTTAATTATCCGTTTAAAGGGATAGTTTACCCAAAACTAAACATTCTGTCATGACTTACTAACCCTTTACTTATCCCAAACCTGTTTGTCTTTCCTTTTTCTCGTAGTCACAAAAGAAGATATTATAAAAATGTTGGAAACCTGTAACCATTGACTTCTATTTATTTATTTTATTACGGAAGTCAGTAGTTACAGGTTTTTAGCTTTCTTCAAAATATCTTCTTTTATGTTTACATTGTGTTTAATTATCCGTTTAAAGGGATAGTTTACCCAAAACTAAACATTCTGTCATGACTTACTCACCCTTTACTTATCCTAAACCTGTCTGTTTGCCTTTTCTTTTTTCTATTGAACACAAAAGAAGAAAGTTTTTTAAATGTTGGAAACCTATAACTATTAACTTCCATAGTATTTGTTTAACCCACTATGAAAATCAATGGTTACAGGCTTTTGGCTCTCTTCATAATATCTTCTTTTGTGTTCAACAGAAAAAAGAAACTCGTAAAGGTTTAAAACCATATAAGGGAGAATAAATGACTATATATATATATATATATATATATATATATATATATATTTTTTTTTTTTTTTTTTTTTTTTGTGGGGATTATCCATTTAAAGGGATAGTTCACTCAAAATTTAAAATCCTGTCATGATTTACTCACCCTTTACTATTCCCAAACCTATTTGACTTTCTTTCTTCTATATACGATATCTTCAAAAATGTTCAAAACCTGTAACCCTTGACGTCCATAGTATTTGTTTATCCTACTATGAAAATCAATGGTTACAGGTTTTAACCTTTCTTCATAATATCTTCTTTACAAAGAGATAAAGATTTTGGAACCACCTGAGAGTGAGTAAATTGTCATTTTTGGGTGAGCTATCCCTTTAATGATAGTATCTATTTTATCTGTTTCACAATGAATGGCTGAGATTAATGCACACTTTTATTTTATTCCACATATATAGTCTAATTGACTGCCTGTGCGTGTGTGTGTGCGCGATGCAATTCTTTTCTCCTCCATGCTAGACTATAAATGTGCTTTACATTCAATAACCTCTATGAAACACTGAACCGTTCATGGTGTACTTGGATAAACAGACTCAGTGGTGTCATGTGATCTATAATGTGGCCTTCCTGAGATTTTACACCCTCTCCATGTGTCCACCTTTCACTCTTCTCTGCTTGCCTGTCTGAAAATAGACGCAGTATTCAGTAATTGAGTCCTTTCTAATGTAACCGTATGAATGCGTCCAATGCTTGGTCTGAAATCTGGACATTATTATTATTATTATTATTATTATTATTATGACCTGCTGCAAATGTTGTATCCAAATTCAGCTGCTCGTGCAAATCTTCGTAAAGGAAGTCAGTGTGTAAACTGCCTTTGTGAAAGTCCATCATTGAAAGTGGTTAAAGTGTGAATTTCACTGTTTCGGCTTGGACTCTGAGCTGACGCCATGGAGTGTTGAGTTTTAAATGTACATTAATGAAGGGAATCGGTGTCTTATAAGCTTCCGGCTATATACGTAGTGCTAATGAAACGTTGATTTAAATGTTTTGGGCCACTGGCACGTAGGTTTGTTCAATTTAACAAGTGAAATCGTTTGATACCATGATCTTGCACTTTTTTTTTTGCGTGTTTTTATTATCGTTTTGTTTTTGTTGTATATATTTTCTAAAGATGTAGATTTTATTATTTAATTCATTCGGTTGGGTTGTTATCCATGTTAATATTATTTTAAATCAAAGCCAAACTAACATCTTGACAAGTTTATGCTAATGAGCAGCTCTCACATGTAGTGGAAAAACCGTGTCGTTCCTGTAATCCTTTCTTAAATCATATTTGGACATGCTGTAAGTGTCTACTACAGTAAAGGCTCATGGGACAAGCGTGCTGCTGTTGTGTCTGAATAAATAACCTTATTCTCTACTATGGCTCCGTTCACTGATTTCTAACGCTTCAGTTCGAACGCACACCTGAATCGGTTTATTTCTGTTCCTGTTAATATGATTTATTAGCGACCGCAGCAATCTCTTTAAAAGAATGACTCACACAGTGAAATTTTGAATTACTTTGGATTGTTACCTGATAAGACTGAAAAAAAAATTGATGAAAAACCTAAAATAGCAAACATTTAAACACTTTTGACCACTTCATTTAGTCTAATTTTGTTGGAGAAAAGCTTGTTTGTAACATTTCATTTGATATAATTTGTGTCTTTATTTTAATGTATTTTTGTTGGGCAGTTATAAACAAAATAAATTATACATTATTATACATAATTATAAATAATACATTTTAGGTGAAGTAAGGTCAAATTATACTTTGAGGCCTTAGGGGAATTATGAATTACATTCAAGAAGGCCTAATATAACAAAATATTTCTGACAATTTTCTGTATAATTTGAGTTATGAATTACAGTATCGCAATACTACTTGGTATCGTGATTTCAAGTATAGATATATACTGGTATATAATCATAAGATTAATTAATGATATTGCGACAACCGTAGTGGTCACAATAGCACTTCTGCCTTTTGTTTTTGCATGTTATATTTACTGTATGTAGTAAGGCTGGCCGATAAACGATATTATATCCAATCACAATGAAATTTATGTCAATAACAATAATAAGCTCTGGACTTTTTTATTCTATACTGATCTAAGAGCCATAACACAGCAGAAATGTGCACCAATGGGAATCTAGAAGTGTGTTGATATTAGAGATGTACGGAATTTTTAGCCACTGGGAATGTATTGGCCGAAAATGTTACGCCATTTAATGGACCCTGTAATTTTTGGGAGCTTCAGTCATTGTTAGAGGTACTCTTTTAAATCTGGAAGTATAACAACCTATATAAAAATATATATCGCTATCGTTTAATATGGAAAATAATTATCGAGATTGCATTTTTGCCATGTCGCTCAGTAGTATGTAGTAAACAGATAGACTGGGTTTTGATGCTGGAAGTTTCTCCGAAAAGAAAAAATTAGAATAATAAAATGGCTAAATTTAATTGCACTGAAGGAGGAAATGTTAAAAAAGGGCATGTTTTTTTTTATTAATTTATTAATTTTCCTTCGGCTTAATCCCTTTATTCATCAGGGGTTGCCACAGCGGAATGAACTGCCAACTTATCCAGCATATGTTTTACACAGCGGATGCCCTTCCAGCTGCAACCCAGTACTGGGAAACATCCATACAAACTCATACACTACAGCCAATATCTATGGAACATTGCTGTCTATGTAGGATCATGGAGCTCTAGGATTTCAAAGTGATTGGAACGCCATGAGTGTGAGTAATACATAACAGAATTATAATTTTGGGGTGAACTACCCCTTTAATGTATGACATTTTGTGCAATAACATATACACTCACCAGCCACTTTATTAGGTACACCTGTCCAACTGTTTGTTAATGCAAATTTCTAATGAGCCAATCACATGGCAGAAACTGAATGCATTTAGGCATGTAGACATGGCAAGACGATCTGCTGCACTTCAAACCGAGCATCAGAATGGGGAAGAAAGGTGATTTAAGTGACTTTGAATGTGGCATGGTTGTTGGTGCCAGACGGGCTGTTCTGAGTATTTCTGTGGGCAGTGCTGTGAGCGCAAATGCCTTGTTGATGCCAGCAGTCAGAGGAAAATGGCCAGGGAAATGAGTTTGAGCTGATAGAAAGGCAACAGTCACTCAAATAAGCACTCGTTACAACCAAGGTATGCAGAAGAGCATCTCTGAATGCACAACCCGTCCAACCTTGAGGCAGATGGGCTACAGCAGCCGAAGACCACACCGGGTGCCACTCCTGTCAGCTAAGAACAGGAAACTGAGGCTGCAATTCACACAGGCTCACCAAAATTGGACAATAGAAGATTGGAATAATG